ACATCTCTAAGATTCTTATTGTGAAACATACAACTCTAAGATTCTTGTTGTGAAACATACATATCTATGATTCTTATTGTGAAACATACATCTAAAACATTCTTACTTTGAACCATACATTTCTATGACTCTTTTTGTGAAACATGCATGTCTAAGATTCTTATTGTGAAACATATATCTAAAACATTCTTACTTTGAAAGATACAACTCTAAGATTCTTATTGTGAAACATACATCTCTAAGATTCTTTTTGTGAAACATACATCTCTAAGATTCTTATTGTGAAACATACATCTAAAACATTCTAGTTGTGAAACATATATGTAAAGGTTCTTATTGTGAAATATATATCTAAAAGATTCTTATTGTAAAACGCATGTCTAAACGAGTCTTATTATAAAACACATGTCTATTAGATTCTCATTGTAAAACGCATGTCTAAAAGATTCTAATGGTAAAACGCATGTCTAGAAGATTCTTATTGTAAAACGCATGTCTAAACGAGTCTTATTGTAAAACGCATGTTTAAAAGATTCTTATTGTAAAACGCATGTCTAAAAGATTCTTACAGTGAAAGATATGTGTAAACATTCATATTGTACAACATATAAGTAAACATTCTTATTGTGAAATATATGTGTAATAATTCTTATTGTAAAAACACAAATATAAAATTCTTATTCTAAAACACATGCCATAAGAAAACTTACCAGAAATATATATCAAAATTACTGAAAATCTAATATCTAAAGGTTGTTATTGTGACATTTATATCTTAAAAATGTTATTGTGAAACACATCTAAAAGTTTCGTATTTTAAAACATCTTATTCTAAAACACTGTTAATGTGAAACAAATGCCTAAAAGTTTGATTTTGTTAAACTTGTATAGGAAATATGAAATTTGATATTTGATATAATAATGTGAAACCTATACCTAACTCGCATTTGTCACGTTACTTATTTCAGCTGGAGCCACGTAGTCGAGTTGTCGCGAGTACTTTTCATTTTTTAGATATATTAGCTATTGTCGTGTTAAGGACATTATTGTTTATGCTCCCTATACACAATAGGCGAGCGGATCGTCATGATCTGAGTCAGACAGGGTTTTAGAAATATTTGTTGCACCAGGCGTTCTTCAAACGTTACCTGAAAACGAAATCGCTTTATCAATTTTCAAAAAAAACACTTGCTGTAGGTTCACAAATGTAAGTTCAGACTTACATCTTATGCCACGCCACTCCTCTCTTCATGGTTTTCAACAACCCATGCTTGTCGTAAGAGGGGGCCGGCCGGGGAAAGCCACATTTGAAAAATAACAATTGTCGCTAAAGCCACATTTCAATACAAACCTCGGTGCCGTGAATCGCCAAAAGCCACAATGCGTAAGGGAATCAATCGATTTTCTAATCAGCGTCACCCATTGATCACAATGGATTGAAACTGTTTTAGTGACTTGTTTGTTTAGTAAACATATGATGGGTGACTCTTTATTCCCGTTGAAGTTTTTAGTTAACAATTCAACATATGATAACATTAATCTGTTTATGTTTATTTTGTTTTTTAATCGTGCATTCTCTACTTGTATAATCATAAATAATTCGTAAAAGGTGTTTGAGTACCTACGTGAGGCAGCTAGTTTGCGTGATCTGGACATTCCTCCACGAACAATTCAACTGGATTTCTAGATTTTACATAATGAATATTTCAATAATTGATGCCTATTATTTACGGTAGCATGGATTAGCTAATAGCGCATTCCCGGGAGAGCCACATTCAGACGATCACTCAACCATGCCCATTGCCGGTTGAGGCACACCATTTTAACTGTATTTTTTTTTAATGTGGCTTTCCCGGGCTATTTATTACCGTAAGAGGCGACTAAAGGGATCGGGTGGTGAGGCTCGCTGATTTGGCTGACACATGTCATCGTATCCCAATTGCGTAGATTGATCCTCATGATCTTGATCACTGGATTTTCTGGTCCAGACTCAATTATTTTCAGACCGCCGCCATATAGCTGGAATATTGCTGAGTGCGTCGTAAAACTAAACTCACTCACTCGCTCGCTCACTTAACGTGTTTCGATTATTACATATATGCACAATTAAAGACACTTTGTCTCGTGGTTCAAACGCTCGCTCGTCACGCCGAAGATCCAAGCTCAAAACCCGACGCGTGTACAATATGTCAAGCCCGTTTCTGGTGTCCACCACCGCATGGATAGTGCTAAAAGCAGCGTAAAATCATACTCACTCACTGACGCGAAACAGGATTCCATTTACTAACTCATTCCTGGGCCCCTGAGCTTTCATTGCTTTAAATGTCATGCTGCTAAAAGCGACTTAGAACACCACTTACTCACCAATTCCATGAACCGAAAGAGGCTTAAATCTTGAAATTCGTTTCGATGGATCTGATTTCGTTAAATTTCCACTCCAATTTTTAAGATGCTGATCGTGTACGTCCTTCACCCCGAGCTTGCATTAAACATTTCTGTGTTATAAAACAGTGAACAATAAGTAAGTCATATGGAAACAACAACCTAATTACTCCAGCATAATGATATACAATAAATCATCCTTAAATGATTTGTCCTAGATTCGGTCATGCGATTTAAATAGAAAGTAGATTGCATTACAAATTTCAAAAGAAATTAACTTTTGTTGTATCTTCCAAAGAATAAATATTGTGCGTAATTCAGTTGAATGTGAGGGGTAGTGTTCCTTTGACGTGGAATATGATCACCTCGCTAAATGTCGTGGCATTTCCTTATGTTCAGTTCGGAAACCAATTTTTGACACACTTATTCCGCGTGAATGCCTGTTGATGAGTGGTAATGTATGGGGTTTGTTTTATTTCGTTTCAACATGAATTCTTCTTTTTTTTTTTTCTTTTATAATTCTGTGTTTTTGTGGTGTGTCTTTTGTGAAGTAAACACGGTACATTTGAACGGTTGCCGGATTAACATTGGATTGGTTTGTTGTTTAACGCCGCACTCAGGAATATTCCAGCTATATGTCGGCAGTCTTTAAAGCTTAGAAGCAACCAACAAAATAATCATAATTAAAGCACAATTACTAGTATTACTTATTCATGACATATAATATACATTGCTGATTATGAAAAAAACAACAAATAAACAAATTTATAAGTGTACAATCGCAAATCATAAGTGTAGTATTTTGTACTTGGGTTTACTACCCTCGAAACGAAGCACCCGGGATACCGAACCCAGTCAGAGCGGGTGGGCGTGTAACGAAGTCTTTCACTGGCTGGTTCATTTGCCGATACGCTCGCTGTTTGTGTTTGTACAGGCATCCCGGTTTAGGCCGCGCGAACCTATTCACTGCGCATGCGCTATGTGCGCAGCGAAGCACAGCTGTTGAAACCACTTTTCACCCCAGCTGGGGTGAATTTAGTGAATCGTTTGAACCCCGATTTCGCAGGAATTTTTTCATCGCGTTATTTTTCAACTTTATAAGTTGAATTTGCATTTTTTATAATTTGTTACTGTAAGTCCATACCGAAAGGTATCAGAATCTGCAAAGTTGTGTTTTGCGTTGCATATAAGCTTTACATAATAGAGTCTGGACCAGACAATCCAGTGATCAACATCATGAGCATCGATCTAAGCAAATGGGATACGATGACACGTGTCAACCAAGTCAGCGAGAGTGACCACCCAATCCCGTTAGTCGCCTCTTACAACAAGCATGGGTTACTGGAGACCAATTCTAACCCGGATCTTCACGGGTCGCCCGATTAAGAAATATCAATCACTTATTTTGTTGTGTGTATAGTGTGATCGCCTTCAAGTAAGATATCTCTTAAGTGGAGATACATGTATGATAAGCTGGGTAATCGAGGGTGAACATGTAACAGAGACATATAATCTCTACTGCAATAAATATAAGGGTTTTCATGTTTCGCTTGGTCCAGAACTACCCCTGGCTGTTTATGTTGTTTGTTTGTTTGCTTGTTTGTTTAACACCGCACCCATGCTGTACATATTTCCTATATTCCTCGCACGTGTAGACATTTCCCCCACATTTTTAGAATGTTCCCATACTCCCCACATATCCATACATATTTCTCATATTCCCCAAGTACCTATACATATTTCTCATATTCCTTACATATGTATATATATATGTCTCATATTCCTCACATATGAGTACATATTTCTCATATTTCCCACATATGTGTACATATTTCTCATATTCCTCACTATGTGTACATATTTCTCATATTCCCAACTATGTGTACACATTTCTCATATTCCCCACATATGTGTACATATTTCTCATATTCCCCACATATGCATACATATTTCTCATATTTCCCACATATGTGTACATATTTCTCATATTCCCAACATATGTGTACATATTTCTCATATTTTCCACATATGTGTACATATTTCTTATATTCCCCACATATGTGTACATTTTATGTATATTTCTCATATTCCCCACATATGTGTACATATTTCCCATATTTCCCACATATGTGTACATATTTCTCATATTCCCCACATATGCATACATATTTCTCATATTCCTCACATATGTGTACATATTTCTCATATTCCTCACATATGTGTACATATTCCCTACATATGTGTACATAATTATCATATTTCGCACATTTGTATGCATATTCCTCACATTTGTGTACATATTTCTCATATTCCCCACATTTGTATGCATATTCCCCACATATGTGTACATATTTCTCATATTCCCCACATTTGTATGCATATTCCCCACATTTGTGTACATATTTCTCATATTCCCCACATTTGAATGCATATTCCCCACATATGTAAACATATTCTCCCATTTTTGCCACATATCTACATACATACATACATACATACATGTGCATACTACTATATTCCCTTCATATGTGTACATAATTCTCATGTTCCCCACATATGTATACATATTCTCCCATTTTTGCCACATATCTATATACATACTATACTCCCTGTTTCAGATTCACAGCCGTCCCCCGCGAGGACCCGCCTTCTTGAGCTGCTGTATAATATCGACGGCCTTCTGCAGGCATCTTCACATAGTACCGACCAGCCAGATAACAATAAGCTAGCCCAGCCCAGGGATACAGACTTCCACAGTAAAGGTGAGTGGAAACAATAAGCTAGCCCAACCCAGGGATACAGACTTCCACAGTAGGTGAGTGGAAACAATAAGCTAGCCCAACCCAGGGATACAGACTTCCACAGTAAAGGTGAGTGGAAACATTAAGCTAGCCCAACCCAGCGATACAGACTTCCACAGTAAAGGTGAATGGAAACAATAAGCTAGCCCAACCCAGGGATACAGACTTCCACAGTAAAGGTGAGTGGAAACAATAAGCTAGCCCAACCCAGGGATACAGACTTCCACAGTAAAGGTGAGTGGAAACAATAAGCTAGCCCAACCCAGGGATACAGACTTCCACAGTAAAGGTGAGTGGAAACAATAAGCTAGCCCAACCCAGGGATACAGACTTCCACAGTAAAGGTGAGTGGAAACAATAAGCTAGCCCAGCCCAGGGATACAGACTTCCACAGTAAAGGTGAGTGGAAACAATAAGCTAGCCCAACCCAGCGATACAGACTTCCACAGTAAAGGTGAGGGGAGTCTCAGGTGCAAGACTGACCTTGTGTATCCCTTATTCACCGGTATTGCGATCAGGATCTACGCGCTTCTCTCCTTTTGGGACGTGTGTCGTATTTGTGTTTGTGAGTGCGTGTGTGTGTGTGTGGAATTACGTGCCTGTGTCTTTCGCTTTCGGAGTCTCTCTCTCCCCTCTCTCCATCTCTCTTACCCTCTCTCTCTCTCTCTCCCCCCCCCCCATCTCTCTCTCTCTCTATCTATCTCTCTCCCCATCCCACTCTCCATCTCTCTCTCGCCTCTCTCCATGTCTCTCTCCATATCTCTCTCCATCTCTCATCTCCATCGCCTCTCTCTCTCCTCTCTTACATCCCCCAACCCCCACCCCACCCCTCTCTCTCGACATTTCCACACTGTTATCACCTCTGTCTCTTATGTTTATATAGTGAGATAAATCACTTCCAAGTTCCGTAAGCCCATGTATAATTAGTCTGTAAAACTAGCATTCTCTTCTCGATTCCTTCTCTCGCAATAATCACATCACTAACACAACGTGATGTATTGTAAATTACATCTGTCAAACCTCCCTTCCAGATTGCCCTCCCTGGTGAAAAAAGTGAAATCTTACTAAGTAGCCACGGAAATATAAAAGTACAAATTTTAGTCTTCTTGAAGTTAGAATGAACAAATACATACCTAAAACTGGAGACACAAACATCAAAACTCATTGCGTGCATGAGTGACTGAGTGACTGGATTGATCTAAGAGTTGTTTCAGCTGCCAGGGAAACCGACAAAAATCATTTAAAAATATATAAAACCCAGAACGCAATTGTAAACCCAAGTACGTCTAATTTCAGGTGACACTGTACTTGCTAAGAAGAGAGACATGGGTGTTCTCCCGCCCTGGAACGAATTCTGTCGAATGATGAGGATAACGAACTGCTTCCACAGTCAACACTGAGCATGCGCAACCCCAGCCAATCATAACACAGGAAAACATTTGGTGCAGCTGAACACGGTGCTTGAAGAGATTTTATGACTATACGAGAGCTTGACGAGAATAGAGGATGTTATCATGAAAGTGCTCTACAAACTTGCAACAGTGGATTTCTCAATAAAATTATTGATTTATAATCTTTGTTTTGTGGTTCAGTTTGTTTGAGTCCGCTGTCGAGTGCCCGCGACAAGCAATATTTATGTTTCAGCTTTGTTCATGGTCGCCATTGACTATTAGCAGGTAGTTTCCTGGTTGTCAATGGATGACTGATACGTTCGAGATTTCCTAGATCGGTCTCTGCTGTTCGGATTGTAAGGACATGACAAAACACGGAAACTCGCTATCTCTGCAATATGTGACAGTCTTGACGCTCGCAGGTTGACTAGGAAGTTTCGCATGAAATATAACGTATGATCACGCTAACGTAATGATTGTTTTACACGTTACCATGGTGAATACGTTTACTATTCACAGGATGATTTGGCGTTATTGTCTTTAACCCGGAACTCTAACCATACTAAAATTTACAAAATCTATTCATCAACAAACAAGGCCTCAACAAAATTTTAAAATATCAAATTGTTTCAATTTGCAAAATTCAGGGAAGATTCGTCTATAAAACAATAGTTTGCACTTCAGATCAGATGTGGCAGCCGTTTATCTTCCGGGTTTTTAACACAGCGGGATTTGGGTATTAAGTGCTTTTGTGCTCTTGTTGTTTCATCTTTAATATTTCGTTTTGAAGTCAAAAGGTTAAATGCATAGGCCAAAATATGTTTTTACCTACGACGCCTTTTCAATAATCACTCACACACACACACACACACACACACACACACACACACACACACACACACACACACACACACACACACACACACACACACACACACACACACACACACACACACACACACACACATATATGAAAAACATTGGATGTTTTGAGACCCGTGAAGATCCGGGTTAGAATGAACCTTCAGTAACCCATGCTTGTCATAAGAGGCGACTAACGGGATCGGAAGGTCAGGCTCGCTGGCCTGGACATGTCATCGGTTCCCATTGCGAAGATCGATGCTCATGTTGTTGATCACTGGTTTGTCTGGTCCAGACTCGATTATTTACAGAGCGCCGCCATATAGCTGGAATATTGCTGAGTGCGGCGTAAAACTAAACTCACTCATGTTTTGAGTATTATCCATTGCAAACACTGAAGCTAATAATGAAAGGTATTAATTTGGTGGACTGACTGACTGACTGAGTTTGGCTTTACGCCGCTTTTAGCAATATTCCAGCAACATCACGGCGGGGACACCAGAAATGGGCTTCACACGTTGTGCCCATGTGGGGATTCGAACCCGGGTCTTCGGCGTGACGAGCCAACGCTTTAACCACTAGACTACCCCACCGCCCCTTAATTTGGTGGAAACAGTATGTTTAACGTTTAAGGCCGCACTCTAGCAATATCCCAGGTATATGGCATCTGAACCAGACAATCCAGTGATCAACATCATGAGCATCAATCTACGCAACTGAGATACGATGACATTTGTAATCGAAGTCAGCGAGTCGGACCATCCAACCTCGTCAGTTGCCTCATACGACAAGCACGGGTTGCTGAAGACAAATAATAACCCTGACTCACTCGCTCAAAATACGGTTGGGGTAGAATAGTGGTTAAAGCGTTCGCTCGTCACGCCGAAGACCCGGGTTCGATTCCCCACATGGGTACAATATATGAAGCCCATTACTGGTGTCCCCCGCCGTGATATTGCTAGAATATTGCTATAAGCGGCGTTAAACCATATTCACTCATTCAACTTCGTTCAACCCGGCGGTTCACTCGTCGCGCGGAAGACACAGGCTAGATTCCCGTGGGTACAATGTGTGAAGCAAACCCGTTTAAATGATTCCAGCCGTGACATTGCTGGAGTGAGTGAGTGAGTGAGTTTAGGTTAACCCCGCTTTTAGCTATATCCCAGCATTTATCAAAACAGGGGGACACGGCCGCCCCTTAACCGTCCTCACTCATTCAACTTCGTTCAACGACGTTCGTCGGTAGGGTAGCATGGTGGTTAAAGCGTTCGCTCGTCGCGCCGAAGACCCGGGTTCGATTCCGGTAAGTGGGTAATATATTTCAGTGGCTCTAGTCGTGATATTGCTGGTATAAACATCACCCACTCAATACGACGTTTCGAAGCAGCCGCCAGTAATTTTATGAAGCATAAGTTGATTCATTGGACAAAAAATTTCTTCAAGAACCTAACACCCACTATATACCAGGGCCCCGTTCCTCAAAGCGATCGTAGCTCTACGACAGTCGTAAGTCTATGTTAAAGCATGGGAGTTACTACTGTCGTAGCACTACGATCGATTTGAGGAACGGGGCTCTGCAGCATAAATGTTAGTATCTGTTTTGTTTCGTAAATGTCGTTTTTCAAATATTGGTTTCTCTGACATTTACACAAAAGAACCTAACAAGGATTATTTGAATCATTATTAAAACCTTTCGCACGCTCAGATGCAGTTAATTAAGAATTGAATTTTTTAAATTGAATAAATGAAAACAAAATCAGTTAAACATTAATCATTACTTTATAGGACAGTACAGAAAACATAGAAAGCGACTTCGACTGATCATAGTAAAAAATCACAGTTTGTACTCCCATATATAAAAACATCAGCAAATAAATGTGTTCACATATGAAATATAGCAGGAAAGTACTTCCGTGTAAATATACTGAACCACAAAAGAAACGTCGCTTTTCAAAACCAAATGCAAGATTTTGTTCTTACAAAATGGTGTTTTTTTATTATGATTGTATCATTTTATTAACATGTTTTTCAATCCAAATTGACAGTTATTACCAACATCAGTGTGTTTTCTGATGAAAAAGCATATCGACCAAACGCACCTAAAGAAGCAGACGTGGTAAAAGTTTCCGTATGACATTCGTGAAAATGAAAATGCACGTGCATATCGTGACAACCCTACCAATGAAACGAGTCCCAAACTCGCCTGAAATCATTTTTGTTTTGACACAATCGTCATGGCACGACTTACGAGAGATCAGAGGAATCAAGTCTTGGGACGATTGCAAGTTGGCCAGACTGCACGGAGGGTAGCCAATCATTTTAATGTTCATGTTAGGACAATCTACCGACTGCAGGAGTGGTAGCATGTCACTGGCAGCATCCAAGACCGTCCACGCAGGATCGCTTCCACAAAGCGACGGAAAAAGCACGCCATCAGGACTCACAACAGACCCTTACAGTGCGTCGACGTTTGTGCGGAAGAAACCTCTGCTGTCACAGACCCTATCGTAGTCCCGTCCTCACCGCTCATCACCGCCAAAACCGACTGCAATGGGCAACTCAGCATCGAAATTGGCGTTATGGACAATGGAGAACTGTGCTTTTATCTCATGAAAGCCGATATTATGTTTCGACAGTCGATGGCAGAGTGAGAGTATGGTGAAGGCACGGGGAACTGTTTTCCAATGCGTGTATTGCTGAAGGGGACTCGTGGGGTGGTCCAAGCATGATGGTGTGGGGTGCAATCGGTCTGAACCAGTTAGTTGACACATGGTGTTCCAGAATCTTGGTCCAGGATGAGGAAATCACACGACAGCTCCTCGTTGTATTGACCAAGTCATAAGACCCCACGTTTTACCACATTTTGGACGTTACAGAAATCACATCTTCCATCAAGACAACGCCCGTGCCCACACTGCTAGAGTAACTTTGGACTTCCTAAGACAACATGGCATCCAAACCCTACAATAGCCTGCACTCAGTCTTGATTTGAATCCAATAGAACACCTTTGGGACGAGATTCAAAGAAGACTGAATGACCTCCACCCAAGGCCGACAACTGCTGCTTGACTCGATCAGGTATTTCACAGAGTGTGGACTCAAGTGCCTATGGCCTTCATCAACCGGCTAATTCATTCCATGCACAGACGATGCAACGCTTTCATCGATGCCCATAGAGGCCACACACAATACTGACTTTGGGGTATCTTAATGGTACCATTTTTGGTGATTTTGTTTGTGTGAACTCTAAATGTGATTCCCGAAAATGTGTTAACCATAAGTGGCAAGTTTCAACTAAATCCTCCGTTTTGATTGTTAATTAGAATGAATTAAAGTGTGTGCTCTAAGAAACCGCTATCGTTGCGACATTTCTTTTGTGGTTCAGTAGATACATTAATAAGTATAACAGGTGACAGGTGCCTGTCTACAAAACTACTTTGACGCTAAAAAGTCCTCCGTGCACTATGTCGTGACAAGGAGTTGCAACACAAACGGGTTGTTATTGGCGATATTCAAGGTGCTCTAGAAGCGAAGGATAATAAGGTCTTTTGGGGTAAAGTACAGTCTCTTTTACGTTCAACAGCCTCTCAAATGAATATATCAGTTGACACATAGTTCACATATGTTATGAATTTATTAAATCCTGTCTCGCTACCATCAACAGCTTTTGATAAGTGTGTTGAAGGATGTGTAAACTCCCATGATTATTTTCTCAGATCCTATTAATCAGGTTGAAATTATGAGGTGAGGTGAAATTGGGTTTAACGTCGTGCTTGAGAATATTTCGCTCATATGACGACGTGCATGCGTGTGTATGTGTAGGTGCGGCTGCTTGTACTAGCCCAGACTGAAGCTGGTTTTATAGTGCTAGCCCACTGAGATACCATGCCGCAGTGAAGCATGAATACCCCACTCAGACACATTATACTGACTCCGAGCCCACCAGTCCTTGTTGTACCCATTAATGAAAAGGGCCAGGCAGGGACCAACAAGTACCATATTTTAACGTCTTTTGGTATGACGCGGTCGGGGATCGAACCCGCGACCTTCCGCTCTCCGGGCGGACGCTCTAACCACTACACCACGGAGGCGGTCTGAAATTATGAAGGCAATAGAAGTACCAATTAAAGGTAATTATGTGAATGCAATGAACTGAGAGAAGTACAGATGTACAGCTCTATTGGATCTTATATCTATACCAGTAATATGAAAAACGGGCATGTGAGGAGCTGACAAGTGTACCAAGGATTTAGGAGGAAGAAAGGAGGAAGATTTTGGATTGGTATGAAGAAGCAACATCTCAAGAGGTTGCAGCCCGACTTCAGATGTATGAGAGTATGAAAGTGATACTGTTTCAATGGATGGCACTTTCAAGATTTAAAAAAAAATCTTTTTATTCATTTTCAAGATTTGTCCCAAAATATTTTATCAAGTATATATCATCCACTATCATGATAGGTTACATGGTACTTTGCCTGAGCTGTTTTGTCTCCTTCCGGACAAGGCCAGTGCCACATACCGTCCGGTTAGCTCACTGTCTCCTTCCGGATAAGACCAATGCCACGTACCGTCCGGTTAGCTCACTGTCTCCTTCCGGATAAGACCAATGCCACATACCGTCCGGTTAGCTCACTGTCTCCTTCCGGATAAGACCAGTGCCACATACCGTCCGGTTAGCTCACTGTCTCCTTCCGGACAAGGCCAGTGCCACATACCGTCCGGTTAGCTCACTGTCTCCTTCCGGATAAGACCAATGCCACATACCGTCCGGTTAGCTCACTGTCTCCTTCCGGATAAGACCAGTGCCACATACCGTCCGGTTAGCTCACTGTCTCCTTCCGGATAAGACCAGTGTCACATACCGTCCGGTTAGCTCACTGTCTCCTTCCGGATAAGTCCAGTGCCACATACCGTCCGGTTAGCTCACTGTCTCCTTCCGGATAAGACCAGTGTCACATACCGTCCGGTTAGCTCACTGTCTCCTTCCGGATAAGACCAGTGTCACATACCGTCCGGTAAGCTCACTGTCAGAATTGGGACAACTGACTAGAGCAATTACAGAAGTGTGAAATTTCACTGTCAAAATTGGGACTGTCAAAATCGGGACTAAACCTCTCTTAAGTGTGGAAAGGTTCCTGGCATGGATGGTATCCCCCCAGAGTTTAATAAGTTTCTTCCAGTGATTGTCCTATATTTAGAAATGTTATTTAATGCAGTGCTAGATAGTGGGATTTTCCCGGATAGTTGGAATGTTGGAGTCATAGTGCCTTTGTATAAGAAGGGTGATAGGCAAAACCCAAACAACTACAGGGGAATTTCTTTATTAAGTGCAATGGGTAAAATATTCACTAATATTCTAGATTCACGTATCTGAGTTTGGCTGGACCTAAACAAAACTTTACACGAGTCACAGGCAGGTTTTAGAAATGACTATTCAACATTTGATAATATTTTCATTCTACAGTCGCTTGTTCAAAAATATCTAAGGAAACCAAGTCATATGTTTTATGCCTCATTTTTTTATCCCCTGCAACAACGAAGTTGAGGGGGATATAGAAACGAGTTCCGTCCGTCCGTGCGCCCGTGTGTTCGTGCGTCCGTCACACTTATATGGCGGCGGTCTGTAAATAATTGAATCTGGACCAGACAATCCAGTGATCAACAGCATGAGCATCGATCTGTGCAATTGGGAACCGATGACATGTGTCAACCAAGTCAGCGAGCCTGACCACCCGATCCCGTTAGTCGCCTCTTACGACAAGCCTGGGTTACTGATGGTTCATTCGAACCCGGACCTTCACGGGTCCCAAAGGGTAAACATCGGGGCTCGTTCAATCATGAGATATGTCATGGTGTTATTTGTGTAAAGATATTGGAGGTCAACACGCCCGTGGCTGTTGTTTAACGCCACATTCAGCAATATTCCAGCTATATGGCAGCGGTCTAGAGTGAGGCGGATTTTACGCCGCTTTTAGCAATATTCCAGCAATATCACGGCGGGGGACACCGGAAATGGGCTTCACACTTTGTATCCATGTGGGAAATGAACCGGGGTCTTCAGCGTGACGAGCTAACTTTTTCACCATTGGCTACCCCACCGCCCCTCAGCGGTCTGGAAATAATGGACTCTGGACCACATAATCCAGTGATGACCGTCGATAAGTGCCAACCAAGTCGACGAGCCTGACCAACCGATCCCATTTGTCGGGACCGCCTCCGTGGTGGAGTGGTTAGAGCGTCCACCCGGAGAGCGGAAGGTCGCGGGTTCGATCCCCGACCGCGTCATACCAAAAGACGTTAAAATATGGTACTTGTTGGTCCCTGCCTGGCGCTCGGCATTAATGGGTACATCAAGGACTGGTGGGCTCGGAGTCAGTATAATGTGTCTGAGTGGGGTATTCATGCTTCACTGCAGCATGGTATCTCAGTGGGCTAGCACTATAAAACCAGCTTCAGTCTGGGCTAGTACAAGCAGCCGCACCTACACCTACACACGCATGCACATCGTCATATGAGCGAAATATTCTCAAGCATGACGTTAAACCCAATTTCACCTCACCTCACATTCACAGTGCTTCATCACCCGATGAATCATGTTATTCTCTGACAGTCACATTTTATACCTTTTCTGGTATCCCGTCCCCTCATCGACCCGACAACAATTCAGCTGGTTGGTTTCCCTGACCCAGAACACTAAATTTCAGGCCTTTGTTTCATGAGCATATGCTCAACCACCAGGCTACCCAGCGACAACACACTGACACTGTTTAGTTTTACACCGTTTCGAGCAATATTACAGCAATATCACGATGGGGACACCAGAATGAGTGAGTGAGTTGGGTTTTACGCTGCTTTATTCAATGTTCCAGCAATTTCACGAAGGGGGGACACCAGAAATGCTCTTCACACATTATACCAATGTAGGGAATCAAACCCAGTCTTCAGCATGACAAGTGAACGCTTCAACCACCAGGCTACCTCTCAGCGTCATGCATGAAGCATGGTATATATAATAATAATAATAATAATAATAATAATGATAATTTTGCGCCTAGCATCCAACGCGATGCTGTTCTCTGGCGCTACATTATTACCCTGACGGAATTGTACTTTCAAAGCTGCTACTAAACGCTAAGCGCGACCGTATAGGTCCATACACCCGCTTTTCAGGTACCCATTTTAAACAGCTGGGTGGACTGAGTGCAATGTGGACGAAGTGCCTTGCCCAGGGACACAACACAGTATGAGACCCAGGTCACAAATTTTTGTGTCTCCACCGGGATTCGAACCCGGGCCTTTGGCGTGAGAGGCCAGCATGCTAACCACTACACCACTGTGCTCCACATTTCTCAGAGGACAGATGTATGTAGATAACAAACAACACACAAAACCGGTACCAGTATCACAATCTACTTTTATTGCCATACTTGAAACTCCACTGGCAGTTTGACAACACCCTCCCGTCACATACATGTTTCCATACAACTAAATACAATGATTCGTGGATCAAATGACAGTCATTCGGACATCAACATCCAACCATTTACACAAGCAGGGTATTACAAGCAGAGCGAATGTTTAATGCAGGGGAACAATATAGAATCCATTCATACCATCTCGGAAAATACTTTCATGATTTCATATGTTATGACTTCATGTATATAATTCATTATGGCAACCATTGAGCTTGGCTCTCAAAGACTTTCAGGAACATCAAATCAGGGGTTAGTGGAAGCATAAAATAATGGCACTTTCAGGAAACGAATCTCTCATGTTCAGAAAAAAGTGACACCTTTTATTATCACAGTTACACAATCTTCTTCCCTTTGCAACGTTTTGTTAATGACTTGATATGAAAAGTAAATTTCATCAAACTGGATGAATTCTTACATCTAGATTCAAACATCTTTCTCTACTTCACCCCTTATTCGATTCCAAGATGGAGGTAATATCTAAGTTAATTTTTATATCAGTACTTACCTTTCAAAAATGTAATCAAATCTTAAGTGATCCACAAAGTATTAAAACAACAACGAAATCTGGATAGTAATCTGTAAAATTATCTTTCAAAAGAAAAATCTCTGATTAAAACTCAAACAAAATCATACCAACAGAAACAGTTGTACAACAAGTACCATCTTTCAACCAAGTAACAATCTCACCCACAACATAACAAGTATGTAACTATGGTAACAGGTTGTAAACACTGAAACACAGGATAGGATTTCAGTACATGTAGTAATGGCAGTTCCATATATTTTGACTGATTTGGAAAGTGATATATCTTAATTCAACATGCATCCAACATTTCTAGTGGGTCTCAACTTGTTTTCTACCAAGTTAGCTCCCCTAGTGAACTGTCCACCATATTACCAGTGTAACTAAAGAGTATGTGAATAGTTTTATGACGCTAGTATTAAGTAGTGATCTCAAGTTGTACATTTTTCTCATGATTATCCATCGGTCGTAAAAGTTGTTAGATTTTCAAGCAGTTTCTGCTTTTCCAGTGTGTAATTCGGACTACATCATCAACCAGTTTGTTCTGTAGAACATGACCATCAACACTGACAAAGAAAAGTGGAATATACAAAGTCTGATAAATAGGATAAACCATTCTACTTCTGATAGAATATTGTGTATCAGCCCATGATAAACAAAACTGATTTTCAAAATATGTCAAGTTCATATTTAGATATATTGACATTTCTGATTATCCCTTGAAAAGTTGAGCAGTATACTTCAAAAACAAAATTCTTATCACATTTGTCCAGTAGATTTGGTTTTCTGATAATCCATTCATACATGCAAGAGAATATTCAGCAAGACTATATGCCTATATCGCTATGGGCCATGGTGCAGTTCTCAAGAGTAATACACTGAGAATGGAACCCGGCTCTCAAAATGTGAGAACCGATGTTGCGGACGTCCAACGGGGATGTCTACAGCATGCGGCGGATCATGTAGTTAAGGATACCGCCGTTGCGGAAGTACGTCAATTCCACTTCAGTGTCGAAGCGAGCCTTTGCTTGGAATGATCGACCGTCACCAAGCTGAAGAAGAAACGCAGGTCAGTGATGTATAACAAATATCCTGAGAAACAATTCAAAAGACAAGAACTTATCAAACTAACGACAATATAGTATGGACGATCAACATTCCGTTAGAATAATACAGTAGTGATCAAGTTCTTACTTGTCTAAACAATCACAGCACAATTCCACAAGGCAACTGTAGCATGAATTATTTGTAACCTTGTAACAATGAACAATGACAATGGCTGAACAAAGATGTCACATTTCAGCTCTATTGTTCACCTGGTTTCTGACCAGACAAGATTTAGAGTGAGTGAGTGAGTTGGGTTTTATGCCGCTTTTAGCAATATTCCAGCAACATCACAGCGGGGGACACCAGAAATAGGCTTCACACATTGTACCCATGTGGGGAATCGAACCCGGGCCTTCGGCGCGACGAGCGAACGCTTTAACCACTAGGCTACCTCACCACCCCGACAAGGTTTACAGGATGAGCAAACATATGTTAAGCATGTTAAGAATATGGTCAAAATACAAAGGTAAATATTTTAAAAAACATCAAAATTAGAAACATACATGTTGACTCAAACTAAACGTGAACAAAATTTCATTTCATTTTGACACAAAATTGGCTGAGTGATGGCCAAAATAGGTATTAAAATATGGTTGCCTTAGTGAAAATTGGATCCTTCTGAACAAACTTGGATTGAGAAGAGGTTGACTAGAGATACAATGTCCATGACTTTCAGGCAGGTGAGAAATAAACAGAAAGGCATTGGAGTGAGTGAGTGAGTTTAGTTTTACGCCGCTTTTAGCACTATTCCAGCAATATCAGGGCAGGGGACACCAGAAATGGGCTTCACACATTGTACCCATGTGGGGAATTGAACTGGGTCTTCGGCGGGTCAAAGTCGTGACGATCGAACGCCTTAACCACTAGGCTACCCCACCCCCCGAAAGACATTGGAAGAAGCATGACAACTGACCTTGACCTCGATGACCTGGCCTGGTTGAATGTCTTCAGGGATAGTTATGGTGAAGGTTTCTTTTCCAGTGAGCTTGAGTGTGTCAGCCGTCTGACCATCCAGGTACTGCAGAGGAATCAGACCCATCCCAACTAGGTTGCTGCGGTGAATACGCTATAACAGCCCGCATACACCCTGGAAAGAGGAATAATTATGTCAGTTGGGTCAAGTTGCGGTGAATACGCCAGAACTCCTCAGGCTATAACAGCCCCACACCCTGGAAAGAGGAATAATTATGTCAGTCTCTCGGCTAGTTGCTGCGGTGAATACGCTGTAACTCTCGGCGCCCCCAACTGGAAAGAGGAATAATCATGTCAGTTGGGTCAGGTTGCTGCGGTGAATACGCTTAAGTAACGCCTATAACAGTGAATACACCCAGTTAATACGCACAACACTCGGCTATAACAGCCCGCACACCCTGGAAACATGAATAAGCATAATTTGCACATTTAAGTGAGTGAGTTTAGTTTTACGCCGCATTCAGCAATATTCCAGCTATATGGCGGCGGTCTGTAAATAATCGAGTCTGGACCAGACAATCAAGTGATAAACAGCATGAGCATTGATCTGCTCAATTGGGAACCGATGACATGTCACCCAAGTCAGCGAGCCTGACGACCCGATCCCATTAGTGGCTTCTTACGACAAGCATGGGTTACTGAAGATCAATTCTAGCCCGGACCTTCACAGGTCTTTAAAGGTGAAGGCTGTACATATTCATTATTTTTTGTGAAATGAATGTTTGGCTTAACCCCACTTTGAACAGAATTCCAGCTAAAGCAGTCAATCACAAAATAAATATTGCCATGAGTGTATCTGTGACAATTAACGGTGACATTTCCTTAAGATTCAGGGCCAAAAACTGGCCCCTGAAAATGTCTAGATAAATTGTTATATGATTAGACTAAGAAACACTGACTCAAGATGGACTCACAAGTATGAACGGGCCCTTTGCTGCCCAGTCTCGTGATGACCCGGACCCGTAATCCTTGCCGGCCAGAATAACCAGCGTCTTGTTATCTTTGCGGTATCTCTCAGCTGCGTCAAACACGTCCATCTACAGCAAACAATTGTAGCAATCAAGGCCACCTGCATCGATAAGTCAGGACATATTACCTGCATCACCAATGTATTAACCCCATAAGGGATAAACCCTGTATATACTATCATCCATCAATATCAACTGCAAACTGCATCACCTTGGTATATATTACCTATATTCCCATCACCTTGGTGTATATAACCTACATATATTAACCCCACACTGCATCACCTTGGTATATATTACCTATATTCCCATCACCTTGGTGTATATAACCTACATATATTAACCCCACACTGCATCACCTTGGTATATATTACCTATATTCCCATCACCTTGGTGTATATTACCTACATATATTAACCCCACACTGCATCACCTTGGTATATATTACCTACACATATTACCTCCACACTGCATCACCTTGGTGTATATTACCTACATATATTACACCCACACTGCATCACCTTGGTATATATTACCTCCACACTGCATCACCTTGGTATATATTACCTACATATATTAACCCCACACTGCATCACCTTGGTATATATTACCTACACATATTACCTCCACACTGCATCACCTTGGTGTATATTACCTACATATATTACACCCACACTGCATCACCATGGTATATATTACCTATATTCCCATCACCTTGGTGTATATTACCTACACATATTACCCCTACACTGCTGACCGCCTCCGTGGTGGAGTGGTTAGAGCGTCCGCCCGGAGAGCGGAAGGTAGCGGGTTCGATCCCCGACCGCGTCATACCAAAAGACATTCAAATATGGTACTTGTTGGTCCCTGCCTGGCGCTCGGCAGTAATGGGTACAACAAGGACTGGTCGGCTCAGAGTCAGTATAATGTGTCTATGTGGGGTATTCATGCTTCACTGCGGCATGGTATCTCAGTTAGCTAGCACTTTAAAACCAGCTTCAATCTGGGCTAGTACAAGCAGCCGCACATACACATACACACACATGCACGCCGTCATATGAGCGAAATATTCTCAAGTACGACGTTAAACCCAATTCCACCACCACCACCACCACACTGCATAACCTTGGTATATATTACCTATATTCCCATCACCTTGGTGTATATGACCAACATATATTACCCCCACACTGCATCACCTTGGTATATATTACCTATATTCCCATCACCTTGGTGTATATTACCTACATATATTACCTCCACACTGCATCATCTTGGTATATATGACCTACATATATTACCTCCACACTGCATCACCTTGGTATATATTACCTACACATATTACCTCCACACTGCATCACCTTGGTGTATATTACCTACATATATTACACTCACACTGCATCACCTTGGTATATATTACCTATATTCCCATCACCTTGGTGTATATTACCTACACATATTACCTCCACACTGCATCACCTTGCTTTATATTACCTACATATATTACCTCCACACTGCATCACCTTGGTATATATTACCTATATTCCCATCACCTTGGTGTATATTACCTACATATATTACCTCCACACTGCATAACCTTGGTGTATATGAACTACATATATTACCCCTACACTGCATCACCTTGGTATATATTACCTACATATATTACCTCCACACTGCATCACCTTGGTGTAAATTACCTACACATATTACCCCCACACTGCATCACCTTGGTGTATATTACCTACACATATTACCCCCATGCTGCATCCCCTTGGTGTATATAACCTACACATATTACCCCCATGCTGCATCCCCTTGGCATGTATTACCTACACATATTACCCCCACACAGGATCGTCCTGTTATATATAACCTAAATATATTACCCTCACACTGTGTCACCCCTGTACATATATTGCCCTCACACACTGAATCAAGCCTGTATATATTACCTCCTCTCCACTTGGTATATGAACAGTCCTGGGACCTGGCTTGCTAACAAACTTGTTCACCAATCGGATGTTGGCAAATGTACCACGTGCCATGACTGAGTCATGCCCTCGCCGAGACCCGTATGAGTTGAACTGTCGTGGCACCAGGCTGGACAAAATACACAAATACATCGGAACATATGATCGATATTAAATTTGTGTTGTATTTATTCAAATCGTGTGCAGTTGTGCAATGTTACAAGCAGCATTATACACAGACAACAAGACCACAATGCAATGTCTTAATATTACTACATAGTTCCCGTTCTTAATATTACTACATAGTTCCCGTTCTTAATATTACTACATAGTTCCCCTTCTTAATATTACTACATAGTTCCCCTTCTCAATATTACTACATAGTTCCCCTTCTTAATATTACTACATAGTTCCCCTTCTTAATATTACTACATAGTTCCCCTTCTTAATATAACTACATAGTTCCCCTTCTTTATATTACTACATAGTTCCCCTTCTTAATATTACTACATAGTTCCCCTTCTTAATATTACTACATAGTTCCCCTTCTTAATATTACTACATAGTTCCTTCTTTAATATAGTTCCCTACATAGTTCCCCTTCTTAATATTACTACATAGTTCCCCTTCTTAATATTACTACATAGTTCCCCTTCTTAATATTACTACATAGTTCCCCTTCTTAATATTACTACATAGTTCCCCTTCTTTATATTACTACATAGTTCCCCTTCTTAATATTACTACATAGTTCCCCTTCTTAATATTACTACATAGTTCCCCTTCTTCTTAATATTACTACATAGTTCCCTTCTTAATATTACTACATAGTTCCCCTTCTTAATATTACTACATAGTTCCCCTTCTTAATATTACTACATAGTTCCCTTCTTATATTACTACATAGTTCCCCTTCTTAATATTACTACATAGTTCCCTTCTTAATATTACTACACCCCTTCTTAATAGTTCCCTTCTTAATATTACTACATAGTTCCCCTTCTTAATATTACTACATAGTTCCTACATTTCCCCTTCTTATATACTTCTTACTACATATTCCCCTACATAGTTCTTCACCCTTCTTAATATTACTACATAGTTCCCCTTCTTAATATTACTACATAGTTCCCCTTCTTTATATTACTACATAGTTCCCTTCTTAATATTACTACATAGTTCCCTTCTTAATATTACTACATAGTTCCCCTTCTTTATATTACCCTACATATTACTTCCCCTTCTTAATATAACTACATAGTTCCCCTTCTTAATATTACTACATAGTTCCCTTCTTAATATTACTACATAGTTCCCTTCTTAATATTACTACATAGTTCCCCTTCTTAATATTACTACATAGTTCCCCTTCTTAATATAACTACATAGTTCCCCTTCTTAATATTACTACATAGTTCCCCTTCTTTATATTACTACATAGTTCCCCTTCTTAATATTACTACATAGTTCCCCTTCTTAATATTACTACATAGTTCTCCTTACCCTCTGCTGGACAAGTATCTTGCAGCGCTGCTGTTCCTGGCAATGCTCCCAGCGGGTGAGATATGATCTGTGGTCACCGAGTCCCCTAAGTTCAGCAGCACATGGGCGTCGGTAACTTTAGGCAGGGTGGAAGGCAATTCCCTTGTCTGTAACAACACAACACATTGTCAACACAACACACTGACGTACCCTCCATCCAAGAGAATCAATAATAGAACTGTATTTTGCTGGTTGGTTAGTTAGTTTGTTTGTTGTTTAACCCGCCCTCAGCAATATTCCAGCTATATGGCGGCTGTCTGGAAATAATCAAGTCTGGAAATAATCAAGTCTGGACCAGACAATCCAGTGATCAACAGCATGAGCATCGATCTCTGCAATTGGGATACGATGACATGTGTCACCCAAGACAGCGAGCCTGACCACACGATCCCGTTAGTCGCCTCTTACAACAAGCATGGGTTACTGAAGATCAATTCCACCCTGGATGTCCATGAGTGTCAACCAAATCAGCGAGCCTGAACACACGATCCCGTTAGTCGCCTCTTACGACAAGCATGGGTTACTGAAGATCAATTCCACCCTGGATGTTCATGAGTGTCACCCAAGACAGCGAGCCTGACCACCCGATCCCGTTAGTCGCCTCTTATGACAAGTATGGGTTACTGAAGATCAATTCCACCCTGGATGTTCATGAGTGTCACCCAAGTCAGCGAGCCTGACTACCCAATCCCGTTAGTCACCTCTTATGACAAGCATGGGTTACTGAAGATCAATTCCACCCTGGATGTTCATGAGTGTCACCCAAGACAGCGAGCCTGACCACCCGATCCCGTTAGTCGCCTCTTATGACAAGTATGGGTTGCTGAAGATCAATTCCACCCTGGATGTTCATGAGTGTCACCCAAGTCAGCGAGCCTGACTACCCGATCCCGTTAGTCACCTCTTACGACAAGCATGGGTTACTGAAGATCAATTCCACCCTGGATGTTCATGAGTGTCACCCAAGACAGCGAGCCTGACCACCCGATCCCGTTAGTCGCCTCTTATGACAAGTATGGGTTACTGAAGATCAATTCCACCCTGGATGTTCATGAGTGTCACCCAAGACAGCGAGCCTGACCACCCGATCCTGTTAGTTGCCTCTTGTTCCTGACATACTAGTCATCCTTTAAAGATGTGAAATTTTGCCAAAAAACCCCCAAAAGGTCTACATGTTTTTTCCTTATTTTTGTGTGCATTAACAAATTTCATTAATGACGCTAACCAATTTTTTTCGATGATTGATAGGCTGTAATAAACCAATCATCAATTATGAGATGTTAACCAATTCCCAACACTAGTATGAACATGGCACAACTCACCATGCCGTCAAAGAATGGCGGAGACTTGATGTAGGTGGAGCTGTCGTCCCATGGGAACAGCATGGTGTCCGGAGCCTCGAGTGAGTTCCACCTAGTGTTTCCCTTCTGCAATACAACATTGAGAGGGGTGAGATAGGGTTCAAGTCATAGGCAACATTACTACACCGATACAGCTACAAGCATGCAAGTATGTGCGTGTTAGGTTTTACAGTTTTATGCTGTTCTTCCCTGACTTATTGTTTGTTTGTTTGTTGTTTAACACCGCACTCAGCAATATTCCAGCTATATGGCAGCAGTCTGTAAATAATCGAGTCTGGACCAGACAATCCCATGATCAACAGCATGAGCATCGATCTACGCAACTGGGATACGATGACTGTCAGATAGGACTGGGTCGGGTAGGAAAAAATGGAATCGAGGACCCGCATGTACTTACCCGAATCAGAATCGAGTACCCGGAAATGTAAGGAATAAAGCGCTTCTGTCAACTTTCTGAATATTCAATCACAGGGTGACAGAGATTTTTCAAGAAAATTTGAAATGATAGCAATAAGACACTGAAACTGAACTTAGGCTATATAATTTGCGTTTGTTTAAACAATATAGAGAGTAACACCATTACTTACATTCCTCCTTAAAACACAGATTGAACTTTTCGCTCCTGCTGTTACTGTAACTTGACTACTCACTGCTCATGCGCAGTTAATAATAATCTCTATTAATCGGACAATACCAATGAAGCAAATGAGTGCTACGTCAATCATGTAAAATACAAGTTATTATCTCCCCTTGCCATTACAGAATTCTCTCCTTTTCCGGGTACTCGATTCCTAGAAATAGGACTCGATTCCAGCTGTACCCGACCCGGGTTCGAGTACCCCTCCCAGCCCTACTGTCAGAGACACGTGTCAACCAAGTCCTGACCTCCCAATCCCGTTAGTCGTCTCTTACGACAAGCAGGGTTGCTGAAGACAAAGTCTTACCCGGATCTTCACAGATTCAGCCATTAGTGAATTACTCTTTTGTGATATGATACATATCTTGATAGCAATCAATATCACAATATTTTACACTAATCTAACAAATGATTAAAGAAACAAACGTCACATTAATTTGAACCAGCACTTACAGATATTCTAGAGTAAACATCTTGAAACATAGCCGGTACCACGTTCTCCTTCTCGATTTCCTGTGGACAGAAATGTTATTATATACACAGCATAGGCAATAGACAAGAATGCTGAGTTCAGCAAAATTCTACTCGCCATAGTAAGACCACACAATGCTGTAAAAATCTGTTGAAAATGAAGAGCCTTGAAGAATCGTAACATCTCAATTCCACGGTAAAGGGTTCACATATTTTACCTGGATATCTTGTCTGGTGGGCCAGATGTCGCGCAGGTAGACGTCCTTGCCTTCAGGTGTTGTACCTGGAACAGCATGTCCAACAGAGTCACACAGAAGCAAATACACAACATTCTCCATTACAGAGGACCCGTGAAGGTCCGGGTTAGAATGAACCTTCAGTAACCCTGGATTACCCTCCTCAAGACCACCTTCCTCCTTAAGACCACCTTGAAAAAAACACCTCTTAAGTGTCTTAAATAATCCTTTTCAAACCCAATTTCTTGATTACCCGTCTCAAGACCAACCTCCTCCTCAATACCAACTTCCTACTCAGACCATCTTGAGAAAACATGGGCCTTTTGTTTCATTTGATATTTTTGCTATGAGGCTTTTGTCCGAGGGGCATTTCTCTATGGGGCTTGGGTCCTGTGGGGCTTTTGTCTGTCCACCGTACGTAGATTTCCCAAGTCATCCCTACCTAGTGGCTGTGTCTCGAAGTCTATACAGACAGTTCCTGCCAGGGCGTAGGCTATCACCAGTGGGGGTGAAGCCAGGTAATTGGCTCTGGTCAGTGGATGTATACGCCCCTCAAAGTTACGATTGCCGGACAGAACACCGCAGGTCACCAGGTCGCCCTGAAAGGTCATCATAAAGTTAGTCAGTTGACAGTTAAAAGTACATCAAGTGGCAATTAACTCTGCAGCAACAATGAAGACAGGTTAACAATGACTTCAAACCCTTTCCTTGAGAGCAACTTCAGTACCAACATATGTTATATTTGGGATTACACTTTCTTAGTAAAGTACAAATTCTAGTACTTTTTTTGGGTTGAGTCCTATCCGGGATTCGAACCCACACCCTCAGAGTCAGACACCAAATTGCCAGCACACAAAGTCAGCCGCCTAACCCGCTCAGCCACCACTAGAATTGGTACTAAAATTTGTACTTTTTTAAGAAAGTGTAATCCCAAATATAACATATGTTGCATCTGACCACTTTCCAAATGGCATTGTGTAATCGTAACTTCAGTACCTTCAGCGATTAAAAAGAATAAAAAACACAGCATGTTGATTGTTATTTAATGCCCCACTCGGTAATATCCAATCACATGTCGGCAGTCTGTAAATAATTATCTGGACCTCACAATCCAGTGATTGATGTAATGAGCATCATCAATGCATGCATTTGGGATGCACACAGACCGAACCCGTCAGTCTGACCACCCAAAGGGGGTAGCTGCCTCTCAAAACAAATCTGTAAACAATCAACTCTGGACCACAAACCAGTGATCAATAGCATGAGCATCAATCTACTCAATTGGGACACAATGTGTCAACCAAGTCAACAAGTCCGAGTGAGTATAGTTTTACGCAGCACTCAGCAATAATCCAGTCAATCCAGTGATCAACAGCATGAGCATCAATCTGTGCAATTGGGAACTGATGACATGTGTCAACCAAGTCAGCGAGCCTGACCACCCGATCCCGTTAGTCGCCTCTTATGACAAGCATGGGTTACTGAAGATCAAAATTCTAACCCGGACCTTCAAGGGTCTCAACAAGACTGACCACTGTATCCCGTTCAAATCCTTTTTGGACGACAACCTGAGTGCGACCTTACCTTCTCTATCCCCTCAGCCACTGCGTCAGGAAGAGGTCCACTGTTTCCTATACACGTCATACAGCCATACCCTACGATACTGAACCTGGCAAAAACAGAAAATACCACACTGACAAAAGCAACCCACATCCAAAGTTCCACATGCCAAGTCTAAAATCAGCTCTGATAAAGGTAAAATTGTGGCATTCACTTAAACATTTGACATTTGAAATAGAAAAGCATCAACTCGACCCTAAGGTTAAAGATTACATGATGCATCGTCATGTAACACTGACTGACTGACTGAGTTTGGTTTTACGCCGCTTTTAGCAATATTCCAGCAATATCACGGCGGGGGACACCAGAAATGGGCTTCACACATTGTACCCATGTGGGGATTCGAACCCGGGTCTTCGGCGTGACGAGCCAACGCTTGAACCACTAGGCTACCCCACCGCCCTTCGTCTTATAACAGATGGACACACTCATCATTCCAGTAAACTTAGGCTCAGTATTATTCGTTACACTGCTATACTGAGTCTTAACAAACCCTAGTCAGGGATTTACAAGTAGCGAATTCCTGCGTCCTATATGCATAAATATTGACAATGGACGCAACAAAGTTTATTAGCGCATCCACAGGGATACACAAAAGGTCCAAATACTTTTTGTGAAAATTCCAATCAAGACACAATAAGTTATCACTGAGTTTGCTACCAGCTGGGTTATGGTATTATTTGCAATTTAACAATGTGATGATCACAATACACAATACAATAACAGTATTAATAATAATAAATAAGTGTCTGGGACCCCCCTTTTGTTGACCAGGACCCCTGAAAATTAATAGTCCCAGGTACTTTCAAATACAGGACTCAAGGTAAATCCCTGCCTAGTAGAAGGTCCAGAGATGCCAACCTAATTTAGCCCAATCAGTATTTTGGCCAAAAACTGATGTTAATACTAGTATCAACCTGTCCAAAGAATTTTCATATTTAATACAATATATATAGATATTCAAAGAACTTGTTATTAACATTGTATTCACCTAAATCAGTTGTAAGTATCCACATATTGCTTGATACTGAATAAAATGTGGTTGCAATTTATTGTGTATGGTACATATGCTATTGATAATTTAATTTAATGGGGTTTCTTAAATTTTGTTATAATTTTACTGATCGTAGTCGCAAATTTTGTGTTGTTGTTTTTTCATAACGAATACGATAAAATCGTATGCGTTGGCATCTCTGGAAGGTCGCATCAGCAAACCTTACTTACTTAGACTGTCATCATTCCAGCTATGTTATGGCAGCCTGTAAATAATCAAATCTGGACCGGACGATCCAGTGATTGATATTGTGAGCATCAAGCCACTCCGTTGTGGTGTAACGCACACACACAATAAACCAAGTCACTGGGCCTGACAACCTAATCCTTTTGATAACCTCTTACATTGGGACCCGTGAAGATCCGGGTTAGAATATTGATCTTCAGTAACCCATGCTTGTCGTTAGAGGCGACTAACGGGATTGGGTGGTCAGTATCGCTCACTTGGTTGACACATGTCATCGGTTCCCAATTGCACAGATCGATGCTCATGCTGTTGATCACTGGATTGTCTGGTCCGGACTCAATTATTTACAGACCGCCGCCATATAGCTGGAATATTGCTGAGTGCGGCGTAAAACTAAACTCACTCACTCACTCATTGGTTTGTTGGTTTATTGCTGAACACCACACTCAGAAAATATTCGAGAAGTCTGTAATTAATAACCGAGCCTGGGCCTGACAATCCAGTGATCAACAGCATGAGGATCGATCTACGCAATTGGGATACGATAACATGTTGACAGAAAGCAAGCCTGACCACCCGACCCAGCTAGTCGCCTCTTACAACAAACATCAGTCTGAGTTTTGACTGAGTTTTGACTTAAGTTAGAGTCATTTTGAGTTTGGTGGATAGATTACTTAAGTTGTTTGGGCTTTTTTTATTTTTAAAATGCAGTTGAGTTAAAAATTCAGCTGTTTCAAATTGTCAAACTCAGTTTGAAATTTGAGTAAAAACTAAAGTTTGTTTCGAGAAAACGGGGCCAGTTCTAACATAGATCTTCACTCGGATGGCCAGCATATGTGGCTGGTCACCAATTCTAAACAAGAATACACAGTGGCCATGAAAACCATGGCATATATAAACGGTAAATTAAATCATAATTCATGGAAGGCTGTTGGTCCTTACCCTAGTTTTTCCAGATAGGGTGTGACCCCACTCTCGCGGAGATAGTAAGTGACGACTCCGCTGCCCGGGGAGAGACTAGTCTTGATGTAGGGCTTCACGGACAGCCCTGCCTCTACAGCCTTCTTGGCCAGGAGACCTGTAACATGATACAATGCACTGTTGTGACTAGGTACGTGAGAAGAAATAGAGAATCTCACCCACGTGTCTACTGATATCAATGTATATCAACCCGTAAGGTAAGGTGAGGTGAGGTGAAATTGGGTTTTACGCCGTGCTTGAGAATATTTCACTCATATGACGACGTGCATGCGTGTGTATGTGTATGTGTATGTGCGGCTGCTTGTACTAGCCCAGACTGAAGCTGGTTTTATAGTGCTAGCCCACTGAGATACCATGCCGCAGTGAAGCATGAATACCCCACTCAGACACATTATACTGACTCCAAGCCGACCAGTCCTTGTTGTACCCATTAATGCGTAGCGCCAGGCAGGGACCAACAAGTACCATATTTTAACGTCTTTTGGTATGACGCGGTCGGGGATCGTACCCGCAACCTTCCGCTCTCCGGGCGGACGCTCTAACCACTATACCACGGAGGCGGTCGTATATCAACACGAGTTGATAAAGTTACAAAGGATATTTTTTCAACGAGTGTTGATATATTTGATATCAGAAGACACGAGGGTGAGATTCTATTTATCATCAAAAATCATTCTTCATTAGTTTTCAATGGAAAATGTACATCTCTCAACACTGTACTACCATTAGACTTGCAGTGCAGCGATGTCATAGCATTGTGATGTCATCAAGTTCATGACATCATAGCATTGTCAGGGCATTGTACAAAATCTACTGTCAAAACATACCTCCTATGATCTCACACAAGCGATATCTCCTGTGGAACACAGTTTTGGATGATAAACCGTTCAACCATCAGGGCGAAACAAGAAAACATCATCAATTTTACGGGGCAATTTCGAATTTGAGGCATTAACAGCATTCCATATTTTCCAAAACCTGCAGACCAGATGCATAAAAAGGAGTACTCAGGGGGCAAAATAGATATAAACTACATCAAATTTTTAACCTAGTAAGCATAGTAAGGTTCATTCTCCTAATTTCAGTTTCTAGGAGAACTTGTCACACTGTAGACTCTCTTCACCAAGTATTAAAATAACCCCGATCAAGGGTCATATCTAACGACAAAGTTACCGAGTTATCTGACCTCTATTTAAAATACTGACACCATGTTTACACCAATACAACAATAGAACACTGCACAGCCCTCATCATAGTTGTTGATTATCCTCCTACATTTTCTACATATAGCAAAGAGTCATCTCGATCTTCTGCTTCAAGGCCAAGTCTGGTGTAAACTATGTAACCCCCTGTTGAAGTGTACGTGTACCCACCTGCTCCCAGCATGACGGACTAAGTCTGGTGTAAACAATGTAACCCCCTGTTGAAGCATAATCGAACACAAACAATCCCAGCATGACACTTGGAAGTTAAATATGTAACCCCCTGTTGAAGCAAGGTTGGTTTTGTCTGCTCCCAGCATTTCGGAGGAAGTCTGGTGTAAGCCATGTAACCCCTGTTGAAGTGTATGTGTACCCACCTGCTCCCAGCATGATTTAGGAAGTCTGGTGTAAATACTATGTAACCCCCTGTTGAAGTGTGACATTTTGCCCACCTGCTCCCAGCATGTTTTTCAAAGTCTGGTGTGTGCACTATGTAACCCCATTGAAGTGTATGTGTAACCACCTGCTCCCAGCATGACGGAGGAAGTCTGGTAAACTATGTAACCCCTGTTGAAGTGTAATGTGTACCCACCTGCTCCAGCATGACGGAGGAAGTCTGGTGTAAACTATGTAACCCCCTGTTGAAGTGTACGTGTACCCACCTGCTCCCAGCATGACGGAGGAAGTCTGGTGTAAACCATGTAACCCCCTGTTGAAGTGTATGTGTACCCACCTGCTCCCAGCATGACGGAGGAAGTCTGGTGTAAACTATGTAACCCCCTGTTGAAGTGTATGTGTACCCACCTGCTCCCAGCATGACGGAGGGAAGTCTGGTGTAAACTATATAACCCCTGTTGGAAGTGTCGTGCATTGTACCCACCTGCTCCCAGCATGACGGAGGAAGTCTGGTGTAAACTATGTAACCCCTGTTGAAGCGTACGTGTACCCACCTGCTCCCAGCATGACGGAGGAAGTCTGGTGTAAACTATGTAGCCCCCTGTTGAAGTGTACGTGTACCCACCTGCTCCCAGCATGACGGAGGAAGTCTGGTGTAAACTATGTAACCCCCTGTTGAAGCGTACGTGTACCCACCTGCTCCCAGCATGACCGGAGGAAGTCTGGTGTAAACCATGTAACCCCTGTTGAAGTGTCGTGTACCCACCTGCTCCCAGCATGACGGAGGAAGTCTGGTGTAAACTATGTAACCCCTGTTGAAGCGTCGTGTACCCACCTGCTCCCAGCATGACGGAGGAAGTCTGGTGTAAACCATGTAACCCCCTGTTGAAGTGTACGTGTACCCACCTGCTCCCAGCATGACGGAGGAAGTCTGGTGTAAACTATGTAACCCCCTGTTGAAGTGTACGTGTACCCACCTGCTCCCAGCATGACGGAGGAAGTCTGGTGTAAACTATGTAACCCCCTGTTGAAGTGTAATGTACCACCTGCTCCCAGCATGACGGAGGAAGTCTGGTGTAAACCATGTAACCCCCTGTTGAAGTGTAATGCGTGTACCCACCTGCTCCCAGCATGACGGAGGAAGTCTGGTGTAAACTATGTAACCCCTGTTGAAGCGTAACGTACCCACCTGCTCCCAGCATGACGGAGGAAGTCTGGTGTAAACCATGTAACCCCCTGTTGAAGTGTACGTGTACCCACCTGCTCCCAGCATGACGGAGGAAGTCTGGTGTAAACTATGTAACCCCCTGTTGAAGTGTACGTGTACCCACCTGCTCCCAGCATGACGGAGGAAGTCTGGTGTAAACTATGTAACCCCCTGTTGAAGTGTACGTGTACCCACCTGCTCCCAGCATGACGGAGGAAGTCTGGTGTAAACTATGTAACCCCCTGTTGAAGTGTACGTGTACCCACCTGCTCCCAGCATGACGGAGGGGTTGCTGGTGTTGGTGCAGCTGGTGATGGCAGCAATGACGACAGAGCCGTGATTAATGGTGTATTCCTGATTGTCGAAAACAATAGGCACTGTTGTCGACAGCTTGTCCTCGGATAGGCCAAAACCCTGTACAAACACAAGGAACATTTTCAATGAAGTCTTCCCAAGCCTTTCTTTCATTGTTTGCTTTGTTTCTGTGTTTGTTGTTTAACACCTCACTCATCAATATGGCGTAAACAACAGAGTCTGGACCAGACAATCCAGTGATCAACAGCACGAGCATCAGCAGAGATGCCAACCCTGAATCAAATGAAAGCAGAGTCATGCCTTGCTAAAAGCAATTCCCGAGCCCTGAAGGTGCGAGTTGGGGTTGAGCGTGAGAGGGGTCTGGGGCCCCTTTTGACGGTGGGGGTCTGGGGGACCTCCCCTATGAAAATCTTTAGATTTAGCCTGGAAATATCCAATTTCTGGGCATACTTAACCAGATAATTCTTAACTCAAACGAACATATTTACAAAAATTCTTTCAAATATTCTAAATTTATATAGATATTTGTATTTTCTAAAAATCGGAGTTTTTATAGACAAATCGGAGTGTGGATTTTGTATTTGAAAATCGGAGTAACTTCTCCAAAATCGGAGTGGTTGGCATCTCTGCATCAATCCATTCAGATGGGATACAATGATCCAATGTGTCAACCAAGTCAGCGAGTCTGAAAACCCGATCCCGTTATTCGCCTCTTACGACAAACGATGTGCTACTGAAGACAAATATCTAACCCGGATCTTCACGGGGGACAAACATGGGTTGGTGAAGACCAATTCTAACCCGCATCTTCACAGGTCTTTCTTCATTTGTACTCACTGATACTCCAGCGGTAGGATGGGGGCCTGTAAATAATCAAGTCTGGACGACAATCCAAGCTACAATGCACAGTTTCCAGAAACAAATATTCCAGCAAAATCATGGCAGGGGATTGGGGAATAAGACCCAGTTCTTTGGCTGCAGCGAGCAAACGCTTTAACCACTAGGCTACCATACTACCCATCAAACCTACAACCATGGTTATGGTACAAAGTGAGCCAGTGAGTCTGGTTTTTACAGAGCATATTCCAACAATATCACGCAGAGGGACACCTTGAACAGTCCTCACACATTGTATCCATGTGGGGAAATCAAACCCGGGTATTCAGCGTGACGAGCCAACACCTTAACCATTAGGCTACCTCACTGCCCTGGTTATTGTACTGACAAACCTAGACTGACTGACTGAGTATGGTTTTACGCTGCTTTTAGCAATATTACAGCAACATCACGGTGGGGACACCAGAAATGGGCTTCACACATTGTACCCATGTGGGGATTAAAACCAACCCTGGTCTTGAGTGAGTGAGTTTAGTGTTCGCGTGCACTCAGCAATAGCCGGTCTGTAAATAATCGAGCTGGACCAGACAATCAAGTGAAACCACATCGATCCTGCAGGCTACCACACCGCCCCCCACAAACCTAGAAACATTACCAGAGTAAAATCAAGATTGGACATCACATACACAGGTTTCTGGCATGACCAAAGGATACAGTTGACAATGAACTGCAGGGCCTTAGTTACAATCCATCAATCATACGATCAAACATTGGACTCTGATGAGTGAACAGTCGTGATGTATCAACAGGTGAGTCAGTTATTCCACTCCAACAAGGTACTGACCTTGAAGCCAACCTTGGTTGACAGGCAACTGAGGAAGTCCGACTTCATGTCGGAGACGGATACACGGTCGTGAGGACGTTTGGGCCCAGAGCAGCAAGGAACTACACTGGCAAGGTCAAGTTCGACGACCTGAAAAAACCCCATACACTTTAGATGTTTGTGATTTACACTTACTGGGTAGAGGCCTAGGAGTGTGAGATGAGGTCTGGAATGATAGGAGAGTTGAATGGGGTGTGAATCTTGGGAGAGTGGAACAGGGCCTTGAATCTTGGGAGAGCGGAATGGGGCGTGAATCTACTGAGTGTGGAACAGGGCCTTGAATCTTGGGAGAGCGGAATGGCGCGTGAATCTACGGAGTGTGGAACAGGGCCTTGGATCTTGGGAGAGCGGAATGGGGCGTGAATCTAAGGAGTGTGGAACAGGGCCTTTAATTATAGGAGTGTGGAACAGGGCCTTGAATCTTGGGAGAGCGGAATGGCGCGTGAATCTACGGAGTGTGGAACAGGGCCTTGGATCTTGGAGAGAGACAGGGCTTGAATGGAGCCCTTGAATCTATGGAGTGTGGAACAGGGCCTTGAATTATAGGAGCTTGGAACAGGGCCTTGAATTAAAGGAGCATGGAATACGGCCTTGAATTAAAGGAGCGTGGAACAGGGCCTTGAATTAAAGGAGCGTGGAATACGGCCTTGAATTAAAGGAGCGTGGAACAGGGCCTTGAATTTAAGGAGCGTGGAACAGGGCCTTGAATTAAAGGAGGGTGGAACAGGGCCTTGAATCTTGGGAGTGAGGAACAGGGCCTTGAATTATAGGAGTGTGGAACAGGGCCTTGAATTATAGGAGCGTGGAACAGGGCCTTGAATTATAGGAGCGTGGAACAGGGCCTTGAATTAAAGGAGTGTGGAACAGGGCCTTGAGTCTTGGGAGAGTGGAACAGGGCCTTGAATTATAGGAGTGTGGAACAGGGCTTTGAGTTATAGGAGTGTGAAACAGGGCCTTGAATTAAAGGAGAGTGGAACAGGGCCTTGAGTCTAGGGAGAGTGGAACAGGGTCTGGAATCTTGGAAGAGTGGAACAGGGCCTTGAATTATAGGAGTGTGGAACAGGGCTTTGAATTATAGGAGTGTGGAACAGGGCCTTGAGTCTAGGGAGAGTGGAACAGGGCCTTGAGTCTAGGGAAAGTGGAACAGTGCTTTGAATTATAGGAGTTTTGAACAGGGCCTTGAATTAAAGGAGAGTGGAACTGGGCCTTGAATTATAGGAGTTTTGAACAGGGCTTTGAATTAAAGGAGAGTGGAACAGGGCCTTGAATTATAGGAGCGTGGAACAGGGCCTTGAAATATAGGAGTGTGGAACAGGGCCTTGAATTATAGGAGTGTGGAACAGGGCCTTGAATTATAGGAGCGTGGAACAGGGCCTTGAATTATAGGAGCGTGGAACAGGGCCTTGAATTAAAGGAGAGGGGAATAGGGCCTTGAGTCTAGGGTAAGTGGAACAGGGCCTTGAATTAAAGGAGAGGGGAATAGGGCCTTGAGTCTAGGGAAAGTGGAACAGTGCTTTGAGTCTTGGGAGAGTGGAACAGTGCTTTGAATTATAGGAGTGTGGAACAGGGCCTTGAATTATAGGAGCGTGGAACAGGGCCTTGAGTCTAGGGAAAGTGGAACAGGGCCTTGAGTCTTGGGAGAGTGGAACAGTGCTTTGAATTATAGGAGTTTTGAACAGGGCCTTGAATTAAAGGAGAGTGGAACAGGGCCTTGAATTATAGGAGGGTGGAACAGGGCTTTGAATTAAAGGAGAGTGGAACAGGGCCTTGAATTATAGGAGGGTGGAACAGGGCTTTGAATTAAAGGAGAGTGGAACAGGGCCTTGAATTATAGGAGCGTGGAACAGGGCCTTGAAATATAGGAGCGTGGAACAGGGCCTTGAATTATAGGAGCTGTGGAACAGGGCCTTGAATTATAGGAGCGTGGAACAGGGCCTTGAATGATAGGAGCGTGGAACAGGGCCTTGAATTATAGGAGCGTGGAACAGGGCCTTGAATTAAAGGAGTGTGGAACAGGGCCTTGAGTCTTGGGAGAGTGGAACAGGGCCTTGAATTATAGGAGTGTGGAACAGGGCCTTGAATTACAGGAGTGTGGAACAGGGCCTTGAATTAAAGGAGAGTGGAACAGGGCCTTGAGTCTAGGGAAAGTGGAACAGGGTCTGGAATCTTGGGAGAGAGGAACAGGGCCTTGAATTATAGGAGTGTGGAACAGGGCTTTGAATTATAGGAGTGTGGAACAGGGCCTTGAGTCTAGGGAGAGTGGAACAGGGCCTTGAGTCTAGGGAAAGTGGAACAGTGCTTTGAATTATAGGAGTGTGGAACAGGGCCTTGAATCAAAGGAGAGGGGAATAGGGCCTTGAGTCTAGGGTAAGTGGAACAGGGCCTTGAATTAAAGGAGAGGGGAATAGGGCCTTGAGTCTAGGGAAAGTGGAACAGTGCTTTGAGTCTTGAAAGAGTGGAACAGTGCTTTGAATTATAGGAGTGTGGAACAGGGCCTTGAATTATAGGAGCATGGAACAGGGCCTTGAGTCTAGGGAAAGTGGAACAGGGCCTTGAGTATTGGGAGAGTGGAACAGTGCTTTGAATTATAGGAGTTTTGAACAGGGCCTTGAATTAAAGGAGAGTGGAACAGGGCCTTGAATTATAGGAGTTTTGAACAGGGCTTTGAATTAAAGGAGAGTGGAATAGGGCCTTGAGTCTAGGGTAAGTGGAACAGGGCCTTGAATTAAAGGAGTGGGGAATAGGGCCTTGAGTCTAGGGAAAGTGGAACAGTGCTTTGAATTATAGGAGGGTGGAACAGGGCCTTGAATTATAGGAGTGTGGAACAGGGCCTTGAATTATAGGAGTGTGGAACACGGCCTTGAATTATAGGAGTGTGGAACAGGGCCTTGAATAATCGGAGAGTGGAATACGGCCTTGAATAATCGGAGAGTGGAATACGACCTTGAATAATCGGAGAGTGGAACAGGGCCTTGAAACATGGAAGAATGAGATGGGGCCCTGGGATAAGTCTGTAATACCAACCTGTGAGAAGACTGGGTCCTGAGAGGCGTCACTGAAGTCACGGAACATCTTGTTCACCTTCATGTATTTCTCAATGAAGTTCAACTTCTCTTCTGCTCTGCCTGAAAAACAAATAACACAATATGAAGTGAGTGTATCAACATGATCAACACACCATTAAGCTCTAGACACAAAACGTTTCAGATATTTCTATTTCCTTCTGTTACTCGATTTCTGGCACACAACACATGCCGTAACCATGTACATCAATAGCATGTGAATTATAAGTATTTTCTCAATCAACTAAAATGCAATAAGCCCTTGAAAAACAATGCTTCAAAGCTCATAATCTAAATTACACCTCATCTACATTTTAGTCACTTGTTCTGAGAAAAAAATATGAAAATGACACTATAAAAACACTGAAATAACTGAAAATGAAGATAACAGCCATAACTATTATTTGTTTGTAGTATAAAGGTCACATGCAACGCAAAACACAACCTTGCAGATTCTCATACCTTTCGGTATGGACTTATAAAGTTGAAAAATAACACGATGAAAAAAACCATGTTGATTGTGATAAGCAGCCTCTGTCACAGACAAAACTCAATGTCTGTTTTATTGACACCCATGTGTCTGCCTGCCTGTCTGCTAATAACAACATGTAATACACAACTTCAATCATTGATCACATGCAATTTGAACTTAACACCGATCGGGCTTATACACCATAAACAAAGAGCCGGCTGAGCGTGTCGGCAAATGAACCAGCCAATGAAAGATTTTGTTACACTTGAGTGTTCACCCACCCGCTCTGACTGGGTTCGGTATCCCGGGTGCTTCGATTCAAGGGTACAAAATATTGCACTTTTGATTTGCAATTATAAGCTTATAATTTTGTTTATCTGTGTTTTCATAATCAGCAATGCATATTATATGTCATGATAATTGTGAGTTAATTATGTTTGTTTTATTGGTTGCATGTGACCTTTAATGATGCACTCGGAAAAATTCCAGCTATATGGCAACAGTTTCTAAATAATCCAGTATTGACCAGACAATCCAGTGATCAACAGCATGAGTATTAATATACGCAATTGGTATACAATGAAATGTGTCAACCAAGTCAGCCAGCCTGACCAACCCATCTTGTTAATCATCTATTACGACAAGCATTGGTTACTGAAGACCAGTTCTAACCTGGACCTTCATGGGTACCATTGTACCACAACACCATGGATCATGGCTCTCTGAATCAATCACTGGATGTATTACTGACTGACTGACTGAGTTTGGTTTGACGCCGCTGTTAGCAATATTCCAGCAACATCATAGCGGGGGACACCAGAAATGGGCTTCACACATTGTACCCATGTGGGGATTCGAACCCGGGTCTTCGGCGTGACGAGCCAACACTTTAACCACTAGGCTACCCCACTGCCCCCACTGTATGTGTTAATGTATTTATGCGAACGCCCAGGACAAACTCCCACCTGTCTGTCGGAGATACACAATACTCATGGCGTCCACTGGGAAGTAGCCCACGGTGGCTCCGTACTCAGGACACATGTTGGAGATGGTAGCTCTGTCAGCGATAGACAGATCCGTCACTCCAGGGCCAAAGAATTCCACAAACTTTCCTACAACACCGATCTGACGTAAATGCTGAAAAGAAGAAAAAATGCACTGAGAAGAAGAATATGAAGGGTAAGTTGTCCTTTCTTTAAAAGACCCATTTTCCTGATTGCTTTGTGTTCAGCTGCAAAACCCTGACTCAGCAATATTTCAGCAATATTCCAGCCTTATGAGTCAGTGAGTATGGTTTTACGCCGCTTTTAGCAATATTCCAGCAATATCACGGAGGGGGACACCAGAAATGGTCTTCACACATTGTACCCATATGGGGAATTGAACCCGGACCTTCAGCGTGACGAGCGAACACTTTAACCACTAGGCTACCCCATCGCCCCTTCAGCCTTATGACAGTGGTCTGTAAATAACTGTTTCTGCACTTGGATCCTGTTAGACAAAGTGACCTCATCACTATGACCAAAACAAGCTAATGTTAAACAGTGGTATGTCCTTAGTGACCTTATTATAATGACCAGAGTGTTCAAGTTAGTGAGTGAATTTAGTTTTACGAAGCTTTTAACAATATTACAGTAATATCACACCAGAATGGGCTTAACACATTGTACTCATGTGGGGAATCGAACCTGGGTCGGGGGTTACTCCATCGAACCTATAGTGTTAAAACAAATTTGTGATGGTGAGTATGACAAGACAGAGTTACCTACCTTGGTGACGGTGGGTATGAATAGACAGAGTTACCTACCTTGGTGATGGTGAGAACGACATCTGTAGAGGTGACTAGAGGGTTGAGAGAGTGGTCTAGACAGAGTTACCTACCTTGGTGAGAGGTGACTAGAGGGTTGAGAGAGTGGTCTAGACAGAGTTACCTAGTGATGGTGAGAACAGAGTTTGACCGAGTGGTCTAGACAGAGTTACCTACCTTGGTGATGGTGAGAACGACATCGGTAGAGGTGACTAGAGGGTTGAGAGAGCCAGTTAGTTTGTATCCCACGACCTGCGGCAGCACCATGCTGATTGACTGGCCTAACATCACAGCTTCGGCCTCGATACCGCCAACACCTACACACACATGACATTATTATACAAGGCATAATACACACTGTGTTAAGTTTAGCATTTTTCAGAAATTTCTGATACCATCAAAACATCAGTCAATGTCAGGAGGAATTTATCTAGGATTCAAAATTAAGAGCTGTTTGCAAATAAATAGGTGGAAAAGCATATTTTTTCTTAAAGTCCAAATTTTCTAACATGTAGAAGTATCTAAACTTTTCATTCAATGCGAAAATGTAAAATTAAATATAAAAATCTCTTCTCGTTTAATATAAGTTGTATGCTTCTCTCGAGGGTAATACGGTCTGATGTATGCCTCTTTGTAACAGTGTCATCCCTTGCCTACCGGCTCGGGTGACACTGCTACAAAGAGGCGTACATCAGACCATATTACCCGAGGGAGAAGCATACAACGTATTTATCTTACCGCCATGTTAAATGTACAAAATATCATTTAACTTTATTTTAAAGATCACTACCAACTATATGACATGTAAACAAAATGGGGTCTGCCTCTCAACTGGATTTTTTATACCAGTGAAACATATTCTGACAAGCTTAACACTGCTATAAAAATGGTTAATTATGTTTAAGTTGAGTGTGCAAACGACTTAATGTATAAAATAGTTTAAATAAAGCAGTGAATGTCGGTAAAATAACTCTGTACAAAGTGAACACAAAAACAGCTGATCGAAAAGTTTTCGAACTCCGGCCACGGCATGCGTCCTATTATGACGCCATAATGATTGTTAGCGCTTCAGCTTCTCGGGGAGAGCTTGGCAGGGTACCATGGCAGCCTCCTGGGAGGTAAACTATTTTCGCCATTGACCAATGAAATTACAGTCACCCTCTGACAGTTTGGTTTTAGGGTTCACAATATTACAGCAACATCAATGGGCGGGGAAACACCAGAAATGGGCTTCACATTGACCAATGAAATTAAAGTACTTTACATGAAGGTAAGATAATAAAATATTATTATTTTCAGTTAAATGCAAGCCACCTCAACAAGATAATAGTAGTTAGTACAATTAGAGCCTGACCTGTTTAGAAGTTGAGGAATAATACGGAGGGTATGATGCTTTATAGATAACAACTTGTTTATTATATTGTGATGAGACGTTTCGGTATAGACTCTTATACCATAGTCAAGCAAGACAGATAATACTGATGGAAAGGTGCAAGTCATGTCACATGGTTTTACGCTGCGCACTCAGCGATATTCCAGCTATATGGCGGCGGTCTGTAAATAATCAAGTCTGGACCAGACAATCCAGTGATCAACAGCATGAGCATCGATCTGCGCAAATGGGAACAGATGACATGTGTCAACCAAGTCAGCGAGCCTGACCACCCGATCCCATTAGTCACCTCTTACGACAAGCATGGGTTACTGAAGATCAATTCTAACCTGGACCATCACAGGTAGGTTTAAGGAAGAAAATCGATAGAGAGTCTCACCCCATCCAACTACTCCGAGGCCGTTGATCATGGTGGTGTGGGAATCGGTGCCGACCACACTGTCAGGGTAGAGAACTCCGTCAGAGCTGAACACCACTCGGGCCAGATACTCCAGGTTGACTTGGTGGACAATGCCCGAGCCCGGGGGTACTATCAGCATGTTCTTCAATGCCTTGGCACCCCACTGCAGTCAGGGAGAGAGTGACAGAGATGAAGGAGTCAGTGAGTTTGGTAGTGAGTGAGTTTAGTTTTACACAGCTTTTAGGAATATTCCAGTAATATCACGGCAGGGGACACCAGAAATGGGCTTCACATACTATACGGGGGAGCCTAGTGGTTAAAGCATTTGCTCGTCACGCCGAAGACCAGGTTTCGATTCCCCACATGGGTACAATGTGTGAAGCTCATTTCTGGTGTCCCCCTCCGGCGATATTGCTGGAATATTGCTAAAAGCGGCGTAAATCCAAACTCACTCACTCACATACTATACCCTTGTGGGGAATCTAACCCAGGTCTTTGGCGTGACGGGCAAACGCTTTAGCCACTAGGCTAACCATCAACCTATAGTGAGTGAGTAGTTTTATGCCGCTTTTAGCAATATTCCAGCAATATCGTGGCAGGGGACACCAGAAATGGGCTTCACATATTGTACTCATGTGGGGAATCAAACCAGCAGACATTTTAACCACTATGCTACCCGTACAGTGAGGAGAGAATGCAAGATAGAGAGTGTGGTGTTGTTCTGTTGGGTGTGAGAGACGAGTGCTGTGTCAGTGGGAGAAGGAGTGACATATACAATGACAGAGTGAGAGGCAGAGAGTGCTGTATCTGTCAATTGTGAGTAGGCTTGTTGGTTTGGTATTCTTTTAATTATGAGTAAGAGAATGACAAGAGTGAGTGAGGGAGAGGTTTATCAGGTGAATGTGTGAATGAGTGACCAGGAGAGTGAGTGAATGAGTGACCAGGAGAGTGAGTGAATGAGTGAGTGACCAGGTGAGTGAGTGAATGAGTGATGAGTGACCAGGTGAGGGAGTGAGGAGGAGTGAGTGAGTGACCAGGTGAGTGAAGTGACCAGGATGAGTGAATGACCAGGTGAGTGAGTGAATGAGTGACCAGGAGAGTGAGTGAGTGGAGTGAATGAGTGACCAGGTGAGGGAGTGCCCAGGTGAGGGAGTGACTGAGTGAGTGAATGACCAGGAGAGGAAGTGAATGACCAGGAGAGGACTGACTGACTGACTGACTGAGTTTAGTTTTACGCCGCTTTTAGCAATATTCCAGCAATATCACGGCGGGGGACACCAGAAATGGGCTTAACACATTGTGCCCATGTGGGAAATCGAACCCAGGTCTTTGGCGTGACGAGCCAGGAGTGACCACTGGACGGAGCACCGAACCTCTGGACAGTGAATCACCCAGGAGGGGGAAGTGAATGACCAGTGAGGGAGGAAGGTGAGTGACCAGGTGAGTGAAATGAGTGACCAGGTGAGGGAGTGAATGAGTGACCAGGTGAGTGAGTGAATGAGTGACCAGGTGAGTGAGTGAATGAGTGACCAGGTGAGTGAGTGAGTGGAGTGAATGAGTGACCAGGTGAGTGAGTGAATGAGTGACCAGGTGAGGGAGTGAATGAGTGACCAGGTGAGGAGTGACCAAGTGAGTGACCAGGTGAGAGTGGTGAGTGAGTGAAGGTGAGGTGAGTGGAGTGACCAGGTGAGTGAGTGAATGAGTGACCAGGTGAGTGAGTGAATGAGTGACCAGGTGAGTGAGTGAATGAGTGACCAGGTGAGTGAATGAGTGACCAGGTGAGTGAGTGACCAGGTGGAGGAAGTGAATGAGTGACCAGGTGAGTGGTGAATGACCAGGTGGAATGAGTGACCAGGTGAGTGAAGTGAGTGACCAGGTGGGGAGTGGAGGTGAGTGACCAGGTGAGTGAATGAGTGACCAGGTGAGTGAATGAGTGACCAGGTGAGTGAATGACCAGGTGAGTGAGTGAGGAATGAGTGACCAGGTGAGGTGTGAGTGAGTGACCAGGTGAGTGAGTGAATGGAGTGACCAGGTGGAGTGAGTGAGTGACCAGGTGAGTGAGTGAGTGGAGTGACCAGGTGAGTGAATGGAGTGACCAGGTGAGGAGGAGTGAATGAGTGACCAGGTGAGGAGTGGTGACCAGGAAGTGAGTGACCAGGTGAGGGTGAGTGGAGAATGACCAGGTGAGTGAGTGAGGTGACCAGGTGGAGTGAATGACCAGGTGGAGTGAAGTGAATGACCAGGTGAGTGGAGTGAGTGACCAGGAGTGAATGAGGTGAGGAGTGAGTCAGGTGAGGGAATGGGTGAGGGAGAGTGAGAGTGAATGGGTGACCAGGTGGGGCAGTGATGACCGAGCAAATGAGGGAGTGGGTTTGAGAGTGTGGCTGATTAAGTGAGGGAGGTTTCAGTGCATGAGCGAAGGAGCAACAGTGGGCGAGTGAGTGAAGTGAGAAAGTAAGAAAGTCAATGAGTGAGTTAGGTTTGTTACTGGATAAATTTAAAAGAGGTGAGGTGAGGTGAGGTGAGGTGAAATGGGGTTTAACGTCATACTTAAGAATATTTCATGATGCGAATATAAGAATATTGACAACGTGCATGCGTGTGTGTATGTATGGCTGCTTGTACTAGCCTAGATTTAAGCTGTTTTTAAATAGTGCCAGCTCACTGAGATACCATGCCGCAGTGAAGCATGAATACCCCACTCAGACACATTATACTAACTCCGAGCCGACCAGTCCTTGTTGTACCCATTAATGCCGAGCGCCAGGCAGGGACCAACAAGTACCATATTTTAACGTCTTTTGGTATGATGCAGCTGGGAATCGAACCCGCGACCTTCCGCTCTAACCACAAAGGAGGTAAAAGTTAAAAGAGACAAATGAGTGAGTGAGTGAGTGAGTGAGTGAGTGAGTGAGTGAGTGAGTGAGTGAGTGAGTGAGTGAGTGAGTGAGTGAGTGAGTGAGTGAGTGAGTGAGTGAGTGAGTGAGTGGGCGTTAGAAATTAACGTCGGTTCTTAGGCCCGAAGCCGACTGAAAACCACTCGGACCCACAGCTCTTGTTTTCTGCAGGCCTTATAGCTGACTGCTTTTTACTCCCAATAACTAAGAGTATTATTTCCATATTAATATAGTGGGCCTACACATTCTGATCAGGACCCACAACCTTTTATGGTTCTGGGTGCTTAGGGCCTGCAGCTTTTCAGGGTTAAGGGCAAACACTGGTAGATTCACACATTGCTCTAATGCGGGGAACTGGACCAGGTGGTTCTACCAGTCACACACAGAGTCACACTCTCGGACACAGTTTCAGAAATACATACCTTCAAGAAGAGAAACCTTTCTTTATTTCTCTCAAACTCCAGTTTTTCATTCTCCTCCAAAGCATCAGCACTGAAATAAGACAGGGTTACCTTGACGACATATCCCGACTACCGGAACAATCACAATGAGCAAAGGTCAACCTCTTACAAAACTGTAACCTATACCAAACACATACCAAACACAGTTATGGCCTACAAAAGATCACATAAACAGGTTCAAAGGGCTTTCCATGAGCCAAACAGATACACCAAGAAAGTCTCAACCTTAGTTACATCCCTGAAGCAAAAGAAAACTTGTATAGAGAGTTGGGCAGCCTCGATATTAATCGATATCATTACCTAAAAATCAATCGATTATCGATAATTATTGGAGAGGCCAAATTAAAAAAATGTGGTACCGATTACACGTCTTCAAAATTTAGGGTAGGTAGGTAGGATTTTTTTTTAAACATTTTTTTTTAGAAGTAAAGTACACACTAATAACACATTTCTCAGTGAGGTGAGTGAGTTTAGTTTTACGCTGCACTCAGCAATATCCCAGCTATATGGCGGCGGTCTGTAAATAATCGAAGTCTGGACCAGACAATCCAGTGATCAACAGCATGAGCATCGATCTGTGCAATCATTTCTCAGAGTATAATTGTTTATTCAATCAAGGTTTTGGCCATCATCGACTTTCTCTATCAGAAAGACTGATGTCCGTCAGTGCCTGGAAACAACAATGGTATCTAATAGCTTATTTCATTTATACCGCTTAAAAGAATTAAGGCCGGCACCAGAATTCAAGGGTCGGTCCGGTAATCGGAACCACAAAAAAATTTTAGGCCAGAAGTAACTTTGACCAAAAATATCTGTAAGAAATGAATATATTTCACATCACTGGTGAGTGGCGACATGTTTTAGCATGGATTATAAACAAAACAACAAATATAATTTAGAAGCAGACCACGAATAAAATTTAAAATTGCATATTGTGTGAGAATATTGAAATTGTTTTCTATCACTAAATTTAGAGCACGATATCATCGATAACACAATTTTCGTATCAATTATCATTAATAATTTTCCAATCAACGGTATTTACGATTATAGATCATTTTAGCCAGCCCTTGTAGAGAGTTCATCTTTCTATCGTCATGGTTACACGGCCCAAATATTCCCAATGAATCTTTGAACCCAGTATATCAATACACATAATGACGCAATTAATGTTATTATTTTTCTTTTTTAATAATTCAAGAAGTGATACAATTTAGTTTAATTCCTTAACAGTAACATATCTGCTTTCCAAAGTCTTCTGAAAACATCAGCCAACTTTTGATTCATTGTTCAACAAATAATTAATATTACTTCCTTTTCTTAAAAAGATGTTTAAAAACTTTTAAATAAAGTCGAGTTTACAACATATAGAAATGCATTACAACACACAAGGCGAAAAAACAGATGGAATAGCATCCCAAATAAGGTTTTATAGGGTTAGTATATTTAGGAATATTTATAAAAAAACAGCAAAATGCAACACGATGCAAAAAAACATGTAATCTTCTTTACAGGTCCTGTTTTCTGTAAAACATAAGTCCCCTGTTCAGTCATTAAGTATTTAAAATGTGACATCTTAAAAAGTGGGCAGGAGCTGGCTTGAGGCGAGGTCATCAGTTTTGGGGTCAGGGGACCCTTAAAGCTTCATCATTTACATAATGGAGGAGAAAAAGGGACCTTTTCATTTCCATCCTAAAACACTGGTTCTCTTGTATAATACCTGACCAACAGGTTCAGTACCGACATCAATGGATGTCAGGCCATGGGCAGATAACTCTTCATCATCTTGGAAAAAAGACCCTATCTCCATACTATAATGACAAACAAGCATTGTCACTAAGGTGACATAATCCCCCGCCACAAATTATCAAATCAAACTTCTAAAGTAATGAAAGTTTAAGTTAAATGTCCACAAAAACATGACCAGTCAACCTCTCTTGATATCTTGCTCTTTAGGTGTTCAAACACACATATATTTTCAAGACTGACTTTGACCTTGACATGAATGTCATAGTGTATGAAATATGCAAATATAGTACTAAAGAAATTGCTTTTTGAAAAACATTTAAGGGGAGTCTTCAAAGTCTTTGAAGAAAATCCAGTGAACAGTTCTTGAAATATCTTGCTGACAATTCACCAAAATTGACTGGGGCCTGCGCCTTCCCTAGATACAGCTTTGTATTGAATATGAAGAAAATCCAGAGAACGGTTCTTGAGATAGCTTAACATGCAGGTAAAACGTTAAAGTCCCCTTGTGACCTTGAAATGAAGGTCAAGGTCACCAAACCTGACTTGGACCTTTCTTATGTACCAATTATGAAAAGAATCTAGAGAACGGTTCTTAAGATATTCCAATTCGTGCGTATGTACGGACGGACGGAGCCTAATACTATATCCCCTGCTTCGCACTAAACGCGCGGCGGGGATAATAATCTGTAGCATGCCGAAGGAAGCGAGTAGGGAGTAATGTGTCAAGCAAGTTTTAGCAACATTTCAAGCAATAGCAGTGCGGGGGACACTAGAAACAGCTTCACACATTGTAACAATATTGGGAATCGAACTTGGGTCTTCGCCATGACAAGGGAACACTTTAACCACAAGGGTACCCCAACACCCAAGACAGTAAGTGGGCTATATGGAGTGAGTGAGTGAGTGAGTGAGAAATAGCGAGTGAGTGAGTTATAGAATAAACATCATGTTTCCAATCACATGATGCTGTAAACAGACATAAAATCAAATTAAACTAAATAAATTAGACATTGTGTATGAAGTTACTGACAGTTGAGACAGTGAGTGAGTGAGTGAGTGAGTGAGTTTAGTTTTATGCCGCTTTTAGCAATATTCCAGCAATATCCAGAAATGGGTTTCACAGAGTTTTCATCATGAGACAACTGACACAATATCTGCCTAATTATTAAACAATATCACACAATACATAAAGAGATTTGTGTTTAATTTAAGCAACATGTTACTTCACAAGGATATTTTGGTTGACAATGACGTCTTGCTTATTGCACAGACAGGTGTTTCAATGAAGATTCTTACACTGTGATCCAGCTTGAATCTTATAATTGATGATTGGTTTATTGCAAACGATCAATCATCGAAAAATAATTGGTTAGCGTCATTTATTAAATTTTCCTGTTATGTTTGTTAATGCAAAAAAATAATAAATAAAAAGTGTAGTTCTCTGGTTCTTTTTCAAATTGCACAATATGAATTTGCAAATTTCACATCTTTAAAGGATGACTAGTATGTTAGGAACACAAATTTCCTGGAGTCTTTAAGATAAATTCAATCCTGACTTGGAATGAGCTTGTAGTGCTAATGAAATGGAAATTTGCTGACAGGCAAAACTAACCTTGGGGAAAATATTGTTAATGCAAATAAGTGTTCCAAAATTGTTTGTGTTCGATTATGAGAAAACAAGATCGATTGCTTGGTCGTTTAGTCACTGCACCAATCTTTGATTATTTCAATTAATCGGACCACCATTACAAGGAATGTGAAGCATATATTCATAGATGTGATAAGCAGCAGATTAAGAAACACGACAAGTAATTGATAACAAGTGGTACATGTTGGGACGAAGAAACTGGACACTAAGAACAACAACTAGCACAAGTCATGATGCCAAACAATGTAAACAGATTGATTGGATGCTAGTGCCGATCGTTTGATAAACTCATTGTAGGTCGATCGAATGTAATACCCTAGATTTTTCTGAAGGCAAGAACCTGTGAATATCCAGGTTAGAATTGATCCAGGGATCGATTCAGACAGCCATGATCAATGACGCTGTGGTATGATGACTATATTCTGTCTATATGACAGTGGCCTGAATACAATTGAGTCAGGACCAAACAATTTAGTGATCAATTCAGACAGCCATGATCCATGACGTGAAGATCTGGGTTAGAGTTGATCTTTAGTAACCCATGCTTGTCATAAGAGCTGTCTAACGGGATTGGGTGTTCAGGCTCGCTGACTTGATTTGACACATGTTGTCATATCCCAATCCAGACCGAAGCTCTTGATCACTGGTTTGATTGGTTCAGATCGCCACCATATAGTTGAAACATTGCTGAGTGTCGCGTAAAACCCAAGTCACTCAGACACTGAAGGTAAGAATTAAATGATGACAACACCTGTTAAGTTCCACCAAACAGCAAACCAAACAACCCATTCTGGATTTGAACCCACACTCTATAAGTGGGCCACATAATCGGATGGGACTAAACCCAAAAAAAAAAGTACGAGAATCTCTACTTGACTGAGAATGTGTAATCCAAAATTTAACACAAAGCATAGTAGACACAGGCTAGATACTTTTAACAAGTGATTATTATATATATACAGCACCACTAAGCACTAATTGACTGACAATAGAGACTACACAAGCTCAGTATTAATTATTATTACATACACAAACTAACAAGGTTAAGAGTGCAGAAAATATAGAATTAGCGTAATGTGCACTTATTCAGGCAGTAATAAAATCTAAAGCTAAAACTGACAAAAAAGGACATACACGAAGCAGTACAATTCCAAAAGCATTGTGGGGGAAAATTTTAAAAAATTAGGCAATGTTGTTTAAAAATGTAAAATTAAACCAACCCGCTGGTTTTGTGCCCGTGAAACGGACATACAGAATCTAAAACAGGAATCCCTGAAGATGAGCATATGCTGCAAGAGGTTGACCTTGACCCTGGGTTTGAACTTTGAACTGGTGTGACCCCGCCTCCCAGGGTTAGGTGAATATTGGAGACGACTGAAAATAAATGCTACTGCTAAAAATAATTAACGCTATTTCATTACATAAATTCTTGAAAGTGTTGCTCCAGATAAAATAGATAGTAAGTGAATGTTTGGTGGGTGACGGAATGACAGTTTGAGTGAGTCTGATTTAACAGTTTTGTTCAGTATTCTGGTCGTGTCATGGCATGTCAGCCTAAAGCCTGTGTCAGACATTTGCAACTTTGGTAAAACCCACAGGTGCTGACAAAACCTAAAACACTGAGAGAAACCAGGAATAGTTCCCACGACAACAGGTTTCTGGTGCAGCTTAGACTACTGGGCCCCGTTTCACAAAGCGATCATAGCGCTACGACAGTCGAAGTCTATGTTAAACTATGGGGGTTACAATCAACTTAGCGCTACGATCACTTTGAGGAACGGGGCTATTAATGCCACTGTGAATGGTTTTAAAGTTTTCAGCATTATTACACACCCATTTAATCTTAAGATAACAATACAACTTTGGCAATATGGCCAGCTTAGGTGAATTTCTGTATTGCACGGCCAGCTTGAACGTCACTAACTTTCTGAAACATCTGAAAGATGTCTAAAAAGTCTCAAAAAACAATAACATATCTTTGAAACATTATAGTTATGAAATGGAAGTTGTTTTGTGTTGAACATTTTTCTGTGTTGTTTCTTTCAAGATTGGAACACGGCATTTGATTGATAACGTTAGACAGAGGAATGTTATCTCATGCATACATGTGTGATACGTCCCTATCGCCGAGCAATACACAGGTCATGGTAACCTCAATGTGGAAGTTTCAGTAGTGACATTTAGAGTTAGATTAAAATGGTCTGTGTCCTTAAACTGACTGACTGAGTTTGGTTTTACGCCGCTTTTAGCAATATTCCAGCAACATCACGACGGGGACACCAGAAATGGGCTTCACACATTGTACTCATGTTGGGATTCGAACCAGGATCTTCGGCGTGACGAGCCAACACTTTAACCACTAGGCTACCCCACCACCACCTGTGTCCTTAAAAGGGTATGCAATAAATATGAAATGTCACACTAATGTGTTTAGATCTTATGTATGGAACAAGAAGAGGGAAACAAACTGAAGAACAATTTGTTTTTTTCAAACTATGGCATCTTCTTGTTCAATACAAAATGTCCAAATGCACGAGTATGATGATCTATATATATATGTTTCTGTTATATCACAGAAGACTGCATGAGTCTGGATTACCAGAACCAGTGGTTGAAGGAAAGATCAAAATTTCATGTCGTGATTTGGGCACTGTGGCAACCAGCCAGGTTACAATTGTTAAAAACACTCTGTGCTTAGACTCTAATAGGTCCATGTTAAGGTATGGAAGTTATGATCACGTCAGCCATGCTTTGTACAACAGCTCCCTTGTGATAAATCTTGAACACCCAATGGTCATCTTACTGATTTCTGATGATAGTTATAACTCAGCAACACTAATGAGTGAGTGAGTGAGTTTAGCTGTAAGCCACTCTCAGCAATATTCCAGCTATATGGCGGCGCTCTGTAAATAATCGAGTCTGGACCAGACAATTCAGTGATCAACAGCATGAGCATTTGGGAACCAATGACATGTGTCAACCAAGCCAGCGAGCCTGACCACCCTATCCCATTAGTCGCCTCTTACGACAAGCATGGGTTACTGAAGGTTCATTTTAACCCGGACCTTCACGGGTGTGACACTAATGTAGAATTATGATTGTTTTACAACCCACACCTTAATATTGATCTATGACAGAACAACCACACCTTAAGAAAGATCCACTATAGTCACAGGTTGAAAACTTTAGTCACAAATCTTCACAAAGATTTTTACGCCTCTTTTAGCAATATTCCAGCAATATCACAGCAGGGGGCACCGGAAATGGGCTTCACACATTGTACCCATGTGCGGAATCAAACCCGGGTCTTCATCATGACGAGCGAACGCTTTAACCACTAGGCTACCCCGCCGCCCCTATGATAATTAGAATTATACCAAATAATGATTTTTGAAGGTCGGAAACTCCTGTACTTAACACAGACTTTCGTTAGTTGTAATCCCCACACCTAACATAGACATATGACATACTTTGGACTTTCATACTTTAGAGGAACTTACCAATGTTGGGAGCCTCTACCCTCAACACAGATTCACGATAGTCCTAACTCCAATACTGAACAGACGTACAATAGTCTAAACTCCTACACAAAACACAGACTTACGATAGTCATAACCCACATACCTAACAGACTTACAATGCCTGTGACTCCTCTACCTAACCCACACTTACAATAGTCTTAACTCCCATACTTAACTCTGCCGTACAACTGTCCTAATTTCATACACCTAACAAATTTTCCATAACGACCATACTTAACACCAACTTCCGACCGTTGTTACTCACTATACCTAACCCACATTTTCCATAACACCCATACTTACAAAGGACTTACGATGAGCGTTAAGTCATTGCACCTAACACTCACTTTCCATAACACCCACATTTAACAAGGACTTACGATGGTTGTAACTCCGTATACCTAACACACATTTTCCATAACACCCACACTTCACAAGGAGTGAGTGAGTGAGTGAGTTGGGTTTTAAGCCGCTTTTAGCAATATTCCAGCAATATCACGGCGGGGAACACCAGAAATGGGGTTCACACATTGTATCCATGTGGTGAATCGAACCGGGTCTTCGACGTGACGAGCTAACGCTTTAACCACTAGGCTAACCTACCGCCCCACTTAACAAGGACTTACGATGGTTCTAAGTCCATATACCTAACCAACATTTTTCATAACATCCATACTTAACAAGGACTTACGATGGTTGTAACTCCATATATCTAACTCACACTTATGATAGTAACTTCAATCGTAAAATATACTTTAACAATGATGACACAAATCATACATAAAAGACAGCGACGGCAGCAACTACATCCACCTCACCTCCTGGCCACATCCACTTGCACTGAGTGGTCTATCACAAGGTCAGCTGGGCAGACTGGGTTGATCTTGTCCGGATCACCTTCGAGACGTTTGATGGCGTCTCTCATGGTGGCGAAGTCTACAACTGCAGGAACACCCCTGGAAGAGACAGAAACGTATGGTCACAGAAGTGAACTGAAATGTCACAAAATCTCACTGAAACAACAGATAAACACACAGCAAAGTCAAAGATACACATAGAAACACACTATAAAATATTACAGAAAACCTGCAGAACATGAAAAGAACACATATTCGAGGGAAATGCATGAAAACATCACAGAAATACTTGAACTATCCTTATGATAAGCCTGGTAGATTTGAAGGGGATCCCCCAACGTATATTACAACCTAAAATTCTGCAGGTTGACTGGCAGGCCTGAAGGGGATCTCCTGTGTTATATACTCAAGTAAAGTCCTGCAGGATGACTGGCGGGCCTGAAGGGGATCTCCTGTGTTATATACTCAAGTAAAGTCCTGCAGGATGACTGGCGGGCCTGAAGGGGATCTCCTGTGTTATATACTCACGTAAAGTCCTGCAGGATGACTGGCCGGGCCTGAAGGGGATCTCCTGTGTTATATACTCACGTAAAGTCCTGCAGGATGACTGGCGGGCCTGAAGGGGATCTCCTGTGTTATATACTCACGTAAAGTCCTGCAGGATGACTGGCGGGCCTGAAGGGGATCTCCTGTGTTAGGATATACTCATATACTCAAGTAAAGTCCTGCAGGATGACTGAGCGGGCCTGAAGGGGATCTCCTGTGTTATATACTCACGTAAAGTCCTGCAGGATGACTCTAGCGGGCCTGAAGGGGATCTCCTGTGTTATATACTCACGTAAAGTCCTGCAGGATGACTGGCGGGCCTGAAGGGGATCTCCTGTGTTATATACTCACGTAAAGTCCTGCAGGATGACTGGCGGGCCTGAAGGGGATCTCCTGTGTTATATACTCACGTAAAGTCCTGCAGGATGACTCTGGCGGGCCTGAAGGGGATCTCCACACTGTTCGCCTGCTGTTTCTCCCAGTCGAGTATGTTCTCCACATCCTTCTTGAGGACCTGGAACTCATCGCAGTTCCTCACGGCCGACTCGAGCAGGACCCTCACAGAGTAGGGCAGCTTGTCTGCAACAATACATCATGGTAATGACACTCACCATCCACTTTAGGCACTAGTCAATGCTAGTCCCGAGTGAGTGAGTGAGTGAGTGAGTGAGTGAGTGAGTGAGTGAGTGAGTGAGTGAGTGAGTGAGTGAGTGAGTGAGTGAGTGAGTGAGTGAGTGAGTGAGTGAGTGAGTGAGTGAGTGAGTGAGTGAGTGAGTGAGTGAGTGAGTGAGTGATACTGAATATGTGAACAAGCTAGTGAGATAGAACATATGCAGGTTTTAACGAAATTCCAGCTATTCTAGAAATCCATTTCTCTGAGTGAGTGAGTGAGTGGGTTAGTGAGTGAGTGAGTGAGTGAGCGAGTGATACTTAAGTGAATACTGAGCGATACTGAACATGTGAACAAGCTAGTGATATAGAAAATATGCAGCTTTTAACAAAATTCCAGCTATTATAGAAAACCAGCTCTCAAGTTTACAGGTTTACATGATGTTTACTGATTTTTAAACACTAAACTGAAATGTTTGTTGTCATGTTCAGTTGAATCATCAAGGGTATGGGCACACTTGTTTCACAAGAGCACACCTACATCTATGCAACCTCAAAACAAAATTGCATTTCTATCACTGGTTAACTACTTAGGTGATACCCAAAGGCATGGAGCTCACCCAGGGCTCGATTTAGTGCTTTGTTACTTGCACTGGTGCAACCCAATATTACAAAATACAACCTAGCTATGAGTCTATCTTGCACAAGGTGTAAGTGAATTGTTGAGAAATAAATCAACAATAAATCTAACATATGCATAAATATGCCAGCCCATTTTTCTTCTAAACTTTGAATAGCTATGGCAATGAAACATTGCTATTCATAAACACGTCTCGGCTATGACAGCTCTTGTAAACAGGGATCAGCTGTGTCTCAGTGTTGCTATGGTTTCATGGGTACTACATCACTGATTAAGGTTTATGTGCACCAAACATTTTAACACACTACGTTGCAACTAGAATTTGGCTGGTGCAACTAGGTCTTTATCTTAGGTTGCACCTGGTGCAAGTAGGTTAACATCTCTTAAATCGAGCCCTGTCATCAGGCCATTAACCTCGCTGGATATGGGACTTCAGCCTATCTGACACTACATAGGGACAAAACTTAGTAAATGACAAGTGGAGCACCCACACAAATTCGGTCTCAAGGATTTTAATAAAGAACAAGTGTTTTCACTAACATGGCAATGTCCCCCGCCGCAAAATAAGAATGAAATATAACATACATACTAGTTTTAATCTTTGGGTCACATAAAAGATTACCTATTGTGTGATATAGTTTTTAGTCATAGCCACTTCTCAGAAACTATGAAGATATTTCAAGAATATAGTAGATTGGAATGTATGGATGCAGATGCCCATATCCACTGTCGGTATCAGTGTGTATTGGCGTGATTAGGGCTCTGACAGGACCAAATTTTCTATCCGGGTACCCCACCCCCTATTACCCTACCCTACCCCAAAACCCCTTAATTACTGACATCAAATTTGTAAGAAATTGCAATATATTCTTCAGCTTGGATGCTAAAATTTCCAGTTTTTCAATATCTTAACTGTGTATTATATTCATAACAGGTGACTGTAAATTATGTCTAAATCTTCAAAGACAATACAACCTTTTAATCATGAAAGAATAACATATTATATTGTGTAATCTATTAGTCACATGATCATAACGGGTCCGGGTACCGAGACGGGCGAGATTTTGAAAAATGTCATGTGACCTTTCCATCTTGGAAAACAAAATGGCCACTTTATACACTTTCTGAAACAGCCATATCACAAAATGAAAGATGTAAGTGTATTTTTAATCACTTAAACTTGAACAAAATGTAATATACGTTGACTCCTGAATGTTAAAATGTATGTGCACAATCAGCCGGACCTCAGAACATGTTATAGTACAGCTGCGATATTGAGGTTCATTATTTCCACGACAGGTATCAAAATATTATTCAAGTCAGGCCAGTAAATCTCCACAGTCACTGGCCCAACTGGCTAGTCAATTTCCATGGGGCCATTTTGTAAATGTATATCAATCACTCTCTCGGACTTGTTAATTTACGATGCACTTCTAAATCATGCAGGATTATGGCCTGATAAAAATGTTCATCATATTAGCAGTCTAATGATGAAACCTGTGTCATGTTGACAATATCTTATCATCATCTATCTTTGTAATGTTTTGCTTAGTTTTCTACATTCAAATTTCGGGCTTGTGAATTATTTGGTAGTCTATTAACTATCAGGCATGGCTAGCCCGACTGGCTAGCAAAACTTGGAAACTATTTTGCACACTGGACACATGTGGTCACACCCTAGGCAAATAAGTTTGTTCATAAATTGTCTCTGTTCACCCAGCAGTAAATGGGTACCCGGTGGGATAAGTCATAAGTGTTAACCTTCCAGCTTGGGTTATTCAGGGTAAAAATGTGTTAGCACCATGAGCATGCACAAGTGCATGGAAACAGGCGATTTATAAATAGTTATTATTATTATTATTTATTATTATTATGTTATAAGGTACAATACATACCATATCGGCTGTCATTGAGGTCTGGGAGATTGTAGTATTTATATTCCTTCCCATCGATCGTGATGTCCTTCAGCAGTCCACTGTATGGGTTGCTCCCAGCTGTAAACAAAAACACTCAGTAACCATGGCAACAAAAAATGCATCATTACAACAATGGTTCAATCTCTGTGTACTCCAGGCTGACACATATAAGCCATGCCTGGAGCCACAGACACAGCTCTGGCTAAGCTGCTTAAATAAAATCAGCACCATTATCATAAACATGGTTAAGGCCACACTTTTTTATTACTTGGTTTACGGATCCACCGACCGTAATATTTGATAAAGTGGAAAAAAGTATATATTTTCAATTTATCCATTTATAAGATACCACCGATAAATAAAATTTAAACAAGAAGACAAAGTCATCAATATCCCCCACAAGGGCAAAATACTCTTTATGAATGTCTACTAGTTATGATTATGTCAAATGTTTTGGAGTGTATATAGCAAAGTTGTAGGAGAGTATTGAAAGGTTTTAAGATCTGCTCCAGAAAGGAGCACTACCACCAAATTCGATTGAAGCCTAACTTGTTGTCATGGAAATGCAACAAGATGACACCCTCATAGTCACAGGCTAAGTCATGTTTCCATGGAAACCACAAAAATTAAATTTCATATCTGGGTCTAACCCCCAAAAGGCATTATCTAGGGATCATGGTTGAAATATGTAACAAGTTTATGCTTCAGACAAAGTGTGACGGACGCACTCAGTGATCACAAATAGTTTAGGAGATATGGACTTCAGACAAAGTGTGACGGTCTTCAGCATTAAGAGAATGCTTTAACCACTAGGCTACCCCACCGCCAACTAAATTTTACAGTTCTGGAGACAGTTACTTCAACTTTCACAAATGCATGTTCTCTAGTGCTGGTCCGATTAACTGAAATAATCGAAGATTGGTCGCAGTGACTAAACGACCAAGCAATTGATCATGTTTTCTCACAATTGAACACAAACAAGTTCGTCAACATCGGCAATATTTCAGCCATATCGTGACTTAAAAAGTTATAAATTGATAATAAATGGAATTAAATTCCAAAAACTGTCGGAGAAGGACAGTAAAATAACTAGATCATCACAGATAGAAAAGTAAAACCAGAAATTAAATCTAAAACATTTCAACTATAGGGGACAACACAATATAAAACCAGGCTATGGATTGCCAACAACTGAAGGTAGATCACCATACTAGGGACCATGGGGACTTACAGTACATTTGCAGGGGTTCAAAAATCCCATCGCCCAACGCCCGGGACAAGTCAGTTTTCATTTCGGGCAATCAAATAATGGTATCTTACTTGTCCGTGGGCTACTAGATAATTTCCACTAATGATTTCAAACCGCTAATAAACTTGGATTTAATTTCATGTCTGCTCAAAATGTAGCTATTACATTTCGCAATGATAATAAAGTAGAGTTATCTTTCTTTGCTATTTATAACTTTTCAATAAATAGTCCAGTAAACATTAACATCAAATATCATGTTGATTTCTTCATTCATAATTACATCATCATAATTATGTCATAAAATCAGGGCAAGTGGAAAATTAGTCAGGACAAGTTACTTTCTTAAAGTCACTTGCCCTGTGGCAAGTGGCTTTTTAAAATAATTTTGAACCCCTGCTTTGCTACCGGCATGGACCCTAGCTGGATTTACACCATCACTTCAGCAATGGAAGGAAACATTTAGCCAAAATTTTGAAAGAGCAAAAATACGTTTAAAAATCTGGTAAGCTAAAATTGAACTTTGGAAGTTTTGAGACTGATCTACCTTGAAGATCGTAGGACGATACAGTATTTTTAAAAACTGAACTCTGCTCAATTGACAACGTAATCATGTGGCATACTAATGTTTATCAGGAAATGAATGACAGCTGGCTTGGTAGTGTTCATATAGGTCACCAGTTACTTTCAACATAATCAAAACAATCATTAGATGAAGAGTGTGACAATCAGGTTAGTGGTGTTGTCATGGCAACCATACTTTCAGGCATTGTTGATATCATTGTTTTAGTGTTTTCCTCTCAGATTGCAAGCAAATCGTTCAAAATTTCAATTTCGGTTCTATAGTTTAATCAGAGTAAGTATTAGGATCACACAGTATTACAAGTATTACGCAGGGCTCGATTTAAGAGATGTTAACCTACTTGCACCAGGTGCAACCTAAGATAAAGACCTAGTTGCACCAGCCAAATTCCAGTTGCAACGTAGTGTGTTTAAATGTTTCGGTGCACATAAACCTTAATCAGTGATGTAGTACCCATGAAACCATAGCAACACTGAGACACAGCTGATCCCTGTTTACAAGAGCTGTCATAGCCGAGACGTGTTTATGAATAGCAATGTTTCATTGCCATAGCTATTCAAAGTTTAGAAGAAACATGGGCTGGCATATTTATGCATATGTTAGATTTATTGTTGATTTATTTCTCAACAATTCACTTACACCTTGTGCAAGATAGACTCATAGCTAGGTTGTATTTTGTAATATTGGGTTGCACCAGTGCAAGTAACAAAGCACTAAATCGAGCCCTGTAACGGTATATCGCAAATCAAACATATCAAACAATACACATGATACAGCTGGCAGTTTTTTTCTCTGAACCGATATACTGGGCAATAAAAGTATATGAAGTTTTGTGATTATCTCTATGGTTTAAATTAAAATCTACACAGACTTTCATTCAGTGAGTGTTCCCATCTTAAATAAGTAACAAAACAGCATACTTTACATACAATAAATTTTATAAAAATGCAAGTACAATCCCTGAAAATCAAATCTAAATTCGAGATTTCTGTTTTCACAAAACTAACATTTATTTTTAGGGGTGAATGGGTGAGTATATTTTTACGCTGCTTTAAGCAATATTTCAGCAATATCCCGATAAGGACAGCAGAAATGGGCTTCACACATTGTATCCATGTGGGGAATCGAACCCTGGTCTGCAGCATGCCGAGCAGGTGCTTTAACCACTATGCTACCCCATCACTCCTTATCTTTAAGAACCGCATCCGTGGTGTAGTGGTTAGAGCGTCCGCCCGGAGAGCGGAAGGTCGCGGGTTCGATCCCCGGCCGCGTCATACCAAAAGACGTTAAAATATGCTACTTGTTGGTCCCTGTCTGGCGCTCGGCATTAATGGGTACAACAAGGACTGGTCGGCTCGGAATCAGTATAATGTGTCTGAGTGGGGGTATTCATGCTTCACTGCGGCATGGTATCTCAGTGAGCTAGCACTATAAAACCAGCTTAAGTCTGGGCTAGTACAAGCAGCCGCATATACACATACACACGCATGCATGCCGTCATATGAGCGAAATATTCTCAAGCACGATGTTAAACCCAATTTCACCTCACCTTATCTTTAAGGCTTTAGTATGTAGAAAATAGGCTCTGCATGTACAATCAGTGTCACTCAATGTCAAACACTGAAGCTCCCAATATATACGCATTGGAATATTGGTACCAGAATCACAATATAATGCAATACAATTTATTTGCCAATATTACTTATTCTTACCCTTAAGATAAATTTGTCGAATTCTGATTGGTCAATAGCCAAAGCATACGAAACCATGTAGGCAAATTTGCCAGGGTGTACGAATCGTACACCCCGTCAATTCTCTCATGAGACACTCTACACGGGTTGTACAAATGACCTTGACCTCAGATGGAATGCGGCTGCCAAACTGCTGATCGCCAAGAAAGGCATGAGTGCGTGAAGACGAAGCCGCTTTTTAGCTTTCTTTTGGGAGCCAGTCTCAAGGTGGGAAGTGGCTCCCGTGGACCCCTTTTTATATGGGCGCGCTTTGGACGGGGATCCTGTGCCCAGAGATCACCCCCATACGGCTAAGCAGGTTGTCCGAAACAGCTGCGAGCCTATCCTACTTCCAAATGGTTTGGGGCGGTGAACATGGCACATGCCGCGACACCCCTCTTCCTCATGTTCCTTCTGCACTAAACAGCTTAAGCAGACCTCGTGGGTATCCCGTGACGGAATTGCAGCAGGCACGGCATTAGGGTTTAAACTGCAACAAGTAAAACCTGTGCAGCAATCCACCCTATACCCACATACAAACACATGTAAAAAGACGCGATGGGCTTACACAACTAATGCGACAAGCGTAAGCATGCAGTTGACAACCTAGTACACACTGCAGCATAACTAACAATTACGGTTTTTAGCGTGCATATAGAAAATGCGAGCAGTAGACATACTCTACACGCATTAAAGATACAAAACCCCACTAAAACCACCTGTAACATTGAAAACCACATGGGAAACCAATGAACAGGAAGGTTAGCGAAGGGACCTGTCCGCCATCTTGCCACGCGACTAGCGAGCCTAATCGCCGCCACAGGTACCAAGTTACAACGAGAAATTATGAATGAAAAAAATTCAGAAAAACCTCCAATTCGCCTTCATGCAGGGAAAAAAAGAGAACCATACATACAGTTGCCGCTTTCTGAAACACTCATAACTCTCTTAGTCGCAAAGGAAAACCTTCTGGTATGGACCCACGCCTTGTCGGTACAATGACAGCATGGAAAGTGAGGTACGAGGTTACGGTCTAGAGTTACCTGCTCTTATTGTAGGGGGCGGAAGGCCTGTGTAAGGGTGGTCTCACAAGACAAAACGTGAGTTTTTGTTTTGTAAATATTTTATTCAAATATATAAAAAGAATGTAGAGTTGGCCTATACAATTATGATCTCAAACAGAGTAATAAAATTGTTGCCATAATTTCTTATTTGTTTGTGTCAATAAAAGTATGTAAAAAATAAAATGCTTCCGTATTTCACTTGTCGATTAACAAAACCTCAAATCTGATCATATTTATCACAAACTAAGCCATCCCGAGTTATCTCCCTTTATGACCGGTCAGGATAAATCATGGCGAAACGTTTTGCGTCTCATTCTGCCGAAGATTAAATGTTGGTTTTTAAAGCTAAGTAAAGTAAAGAGATCTTAAGGGTAATAAATTCGTCACACAGTGTTTTGAAATACAGAAATTTACAAGGGTCTTACATAGTTACAGTCCCGTACATCCTTTCAAAA